TGACAACGTCCAGTCACCCTTCTTTGATTATAGACGATTTGATTTGATCGCACACTCAAATCTTTTTTTTGGTTTTTGTGGTCCTCTGTTAGGAGTTTCGGGACCCAACGGGAGCACAGTTTCCTAAACTTTGTTGTTGTTCATTCGTTCAGTCGTCTCCGACTCTTCGTGACCTCATGGACCAGCCCACGCCAGAGCTCCCTGTCGGCCGTTACCACCCCCAGCTCCTTCAAGGTCAGTCCAGTCACTTCAAGGATGCCATCCATCCATCTTGCCTTGGTCGGCCCCTCTTCCTTTTGCCTTCCACTTTCCCCAGCATAATTGTCTTCTCCAGGCTTTCCTGTCTCCTCATGATGTGGCCAAAGTACTTCAACTTTGTCTCTAGTATCTTTCCCTCCAGTGAGCAGTCGGGCTTTATTTCCTGGAGGATGGACTGGTTGGATCTTCTCGCAGTCCAAGGCACTCTCAGAACTTTCCTCCAACACCCCAGCTCAAAAGCATCGATCTTCCTTCGCTCAGCCTTCCCTAAGGTCCAGCTCTCACATCCGTAGGTTACTACAGGGAATACCATGGCTTTGACTAGGCGGATCTTTGTTGCCAGTCTGATGTCTCTACTCTTTACTATCTTATCGAGATTGGACATTGCTCTCCTCCCAAGAAGTAAGCGTCTTCTGATTTCCTGGCTACAGTCTGCATCTGCAGTAATCTTTGCACCTAGAAATACAAAGTCTGTCACGGCCTCCACGGTTTCTCCCTCTATTTTCCAGTTGTCAATCATTCTTGTTGCCATAATCTTGGTTTTTTTGACGTTTAGCTGCAACCCGGCTTTTGCGCTTTCTTCTTTCACCTTGATTAGAAGGCTCCTCAGCTCCTCCTCGCTTTCGGCCATCAGAGTGGTGTCATCTGCATATCTGAGGTTGCTAATGTTTCTTCCAGCAATTTTCACCCCAGCTTTGCATTCATCCAGCCCTGCACATCGCATGATGTGTTCTGCATACAAGTTAAAAAGGTTGGGTGAGAGGATGCAGCCTTGCCGTACGCCTTTCCCAATCTTGAACCAGTCTGTTGTTCCGTGGTCAGTTCTGACTGTTGCTACTTGGTCCTTGTACAGATTCCTCAGGAGAGAGGGAAGGGGGCTTGGGATGCCCATCCCACTAAGAACTTGCCACAATTTATTATGATCCACACAGTCAAAGGCTTTAGAATAGTCAATGAAGCAGAAGTAGATGTTTTTCTGAAACTCCCTGCCTTTCTCCATTATCCAGCGGATATTGGCAATTTGGTCTCCTAAACTTTAGGTGTTCAGAAACAATGTTGTAAAGCACTGATCTCGACACATCAGGAAATTCGTTTGAGAGACCTGTTATTGTGAAGCGCCTGTTCTCACGAATCCTCACTTCAACTGAAGCCACCAAATCGTCTGTAATCAAAGAAGGGCGACCGGAGCGGTCCTCATCATGGACGTTGTCACGGCCATCTTTGAATTGTCGTACCCACTTACGCACTTTGCTTTCACTCATAACAGTATCACCGTACACTTCACAAATCTGTCGATGAATTTCTGCAGCAGGCAGGTTCCTTGCTGACAAAAACCGTATCACTGAGCGAACCTCACATGCGGCGGGTGAGTTGATAGTCTTAAACATTTTTAAAGCACAGAACAGAACCGTACAGGTGAGCTACAGAGCGGAAACTGAGCACAGTTGTTCCCGAGGCATGCCGGTACACGACGCACGCGCTCGTTGCGGTATGCGCGCGAACTACTAGTGTCTACAACAAAACGGACCTTACTTAAAAAATACCCCTCGTACTTTTTCAGCATTAAAACGTTTGGGTTGCTGTGAGTTTTCCGGGCAGTATGGCCATGTACCAGAAGCATTCTCCCCTGACATTTCACCTGCATCTGTGGCTGTATATACTTTGAGAATGAGATACTTTGGAGACGAGACCCAAGTCTAGACATGAAATGCATTCACATCTATATAAATAAAAATGTAATGTTCATTTGTGGGTTTAACATAATTCAAAAACCACTGAGCGAATTGACACCAAATTTGGACACAATACAAATATCAGGCCAACAAGTGACCATTGCTCATAAAAACGAAGGGACTTAAAAAGCCAAAAAAGCAAAAAGACGCTACAGCGCATGGGCAAAACGACTCCCCCTGGCAAACAAAACACACAATAGCATATTCACACTCTCTTCTGGACTACAGCTCCCAGCATCCCCTAGACCAGGCCCTTTAGGAGAGGAGGATGATCCAAATGCACTGCTTCCAAGCTGCAAGCTTTCTTCTCCTTGGATTTCTTTGAGAGCATCCCAATCCCTGCATATTTCCAATTTCCTATTCCTGGACTGCAACTCCCAGCAATCCTCCAGATAGATAGATTAGATAGAGATAGATAGGTAGGTAGATGGATCAGGAGGACTGCTGGGAGTTGCAGTCCAAGAATAGGTAGAGAAGGAAGAAAAGGGAGAAAGAGGAAGGGAAAGAAAAGGGGGAAGATGAAGAGAAGAGGAAAAGAAGGAAGGAAGGAGAGAAGGAAAGAAAAAAGTGAAGGAAGGAGAGTAAGAAATAATTTAAGAAAAAAAGGGAAGGAAGGAAGGAGGGTGGGGGCGGAGGGAGAAAGAAGGAAGGAAGCAAAGAGGGAAGGAAGGTTGGCCACAGCAGCTTGTGGCCTGTACAGCTAGTTAATAATAATAATCTATATAAATAAAAATGTAATGTACGCTTGTGGAATTAACATAACTCAAAAACCATGGGATGAAATGAAACCAAATCTGGACACAAGGCACCTCTCAGGCCCACAAGTGACCATCACTCATAATAACACTGAAAAACTTAGCAGAAGGGACTTAAAAAGCCAAAATAGCAAAACGACACTACAGCGCATGCACAAAAACAATTCCCCTGGCAAACAAAACACACAATAGCATACCCACATTCCTTTCTCAACTACAGCTCCCAGCATCCCCTATACCAGGCCCTTTAGGAGAGGAGAATGATCCAAATGCACTGCTTCCAAACTGCAAGCTTTCTTCTCCTTGGAGTTCTTTGAGAGCATCCCAATCCCTGCAGATTTCCCATTTCCTATTCCTGGACTGCAACTCCCAGCAATCCTCCTGATTGATAGGTATAGAGATGGATAGGCAGGTAGATAGATGGATCAGGAGGACTGCTGGGAGTTGCAGTCCAAGAATAGGTAGAGAAGGAAGAAAGGGGAGAAAGAGGAAGGGAAAGAAAAGGGGAAGGAAGGGAAGAGGAAGAGAAGGAAGGAAGGAAGGAAGGAAGGAAGGAAGGAAGGAAGGAAGGAAGGAAGGAAGGAAGGAAGGAAGGAGAGAAAGGGGCAGGAAGGAAGGAAGGGAAGAAAGAGGAATGGAAAGAAAAAGAGGGGAAGGAAGGGAAGAGGAAGAGAAGGAAGGAAGGAGAGAAAGGGGAAGGAAGAAAGAGAAGAAAGAGGAAGTGAAAGAAAAGAGAAGGAGGGAAGGGAAGAAGAGAAGGAAGGAAGGGAGGGAGGGAAGAAATAGGAAGGGAAAGAAAAGGGAGGGAAGGAAGGGAAGAAGAAGAGAGGGAAGCAAGGAAGGAAGGAAAGAAAGGGAAGAAAGAGGAAGGGAATGAAAAAGAGGGGAAGGAAGGGAAGAGGAAGAGAAGGAAGGAAGGAAGGAGAGAAAGGGGCAGGAAGGAAGGAAGGGAAGAAAGAGGAATGGAAAGAAAAAGAGGGGAAGGAAGGGAAGAGGAAGAGAAGGAAGGAAGGAGAGAAAGGGGAGGGAAGTAAGAAAGAGAAGAAAGAGGAAGTGAAAGAAAAGAGAAGGGAAGAAGAGAAGGAAGGGAGGGAGGGAGGGAAGAAATGGGAAGGGAAAGAAAAGGGAGGGAGGGAAGGAAAGAAGAAGAGAGGGAAGCAAGGAAGGAAGGAAAGAAAGGGAAGAAAGAGGAAGGGAATGAAAAAGAGGGGAAGGAAGGGAAGAGGAAGAGAAGGAAGGAAGGAAGGAGAGAAAGGGGCAGGAAGGAAGGAAGGGAAGAAAGAGGAATGGAAAGAAAAAGAGGGGAAGGAAGGGAAGAGGAAGAGAAGGAAGGAAGGAGAGAAAGGGGAAGGAAGAAAGAGAAGAAAGAGGAAGTGAAAGAAAAGAGAAGGAGGGAAGGGAAGAAGAGAAGGAAGGAAGGGAGGGAGGGAAGAAATAGGAAGGGAAAGAAAAGGGAGGGAAGGAAGGGAAGAAGAAGAGAGGGAAGCAAGGAAGGAAGGAGAGAAAGGAAGAAGGGAAGGGAAAGAAAAGAGGGGAGGAAGGGAAGAGGAAGAGAAGGAAGGAAGGAAGGAAGGAAGGAAGGAAGGAAGGAAGGAAGGAGAGAAAGGGGCAGGAAGGAAGGAAGGGAAGAAAGAGGAATGGAAAGAAAAAGAGGGGAAGGAAGGGAAGAGGAAGAGAAGGAAGGAAGGAGAGAAAGGGGAAGGAAGAAAGAGAAGAAAGAGGAAGTGAAAGAAAAGAGAAGGAGGGAAGGGAAGAAGAGAAGGAAGGAAGGGAGGGAGGGAAGAAATAGGAAGGGAAAGAAAAGGGAGGGAAGGAAGGGAAGAAGAAGAGAGGGAAGCAAGGGAAGGAAAGAAAGGGAAGAAAGGAGGGAAGAAAAAGAGGGAAGGAAGGGAGAGGAAGAGAAGGAAGGAAGGAAGGAAGGAAGGAGGAAGGAAGGAAGGAAGGAAGGAAGGAAGGAAGGAAGGAAGGAAGGAGAGAAGGAAAGAAAAAAGGGAAGGAAGGAGAGAAAGAGGGAGGGAAGGTTGGCTACAGCAACACGTGGCAGGTACAGCTAGTTTGACATAAACTTAATACGCTGGATATAAATTGATACACAACCTCTTTTTAAGAAGGTTGTGCCTGAAACAAAGTGTGTGTACTAGCTTGGATTTGGGAGCATTTTGGAAGCAAAATTTCCTGATGAAGGATACTCAACCTGTCGTAACAATATGAGAGAATTCACAGGAGTAATTTACTTTATTTCTTTCTATTGCAGATGGCGTTGTGTTGGTGGATCCAGAATACCTAAAAGAACGTAAAGGTAATTAAATATCTCTATTGCCTAAACGTTAGAAGGAATGTCTTCAAAAAGGCAGTTTGGAATAGTTTTGGAAGTGGACGGGCTCTCCTTCTTCAGGAGATGTTTAAGCAGAGGCCCCCATGCCATCTTTTGGGAGTGCTCTATTTAGGTAGTCTTGCATTGCATGCGGTTGGACTACATGACCTCTGGGGGTCCCTTCCAATGCTGTGATTCAGTAATACAAGTTGAAAGTAAGCCACAAACATGAATAGTCAGGTTAAATGCAACCACCCCATGATAGAGTATGTTAAACATCATCTCGTCTAAAGGCTAAACATGACCCAGCTCTTTAAGCCGCTCCTCATAGAGCTTGTTCTGCAAGCCCTTGATCCTTTGAGTCACCCTCCTCTGGACACGTTCCAGCTTATCAGCATCTCCCTTCAATTGTGGTGCCCAGAATTGGACACAGTGTGATTCCAGGTGTGGTCTTACTTACTTACTTACTTACTTACTTACTTAGGCAATCCCTTGTAGTCTGAGGATAATGGTCCTCCATGTGTAGTATCCTGGGGGTGGGTCCATAGTTGACTGTGGAGCCCTATTCTTGATTTGCATCTTCTCCCACAGTGAGGGCATTGGTTTCCAGGTGGAAGGCGGTCCTGGTTGGGGTTGGCTTGACACGCCTTCCTCTTGGCACGTTTCTCCCTTTAGCCCTCCATTCGTGCCTCTTCAAATTCTGCAGCACTGCTGGTCACAGCTGACCTCCAACTGGAGCGCTCAAGGGCCAGGGCTTCCCAGTTCTCAGTGTCTATGCCAGAGTATTTAAGGTTGGCTTTGAGCCCATCTTTGAATATCTTTTCCTGCCCTCCAACATTCTGTTTTCTGTTCTTGAGTTCGGAATAGAGCAACTGCTTTGGGAGACGGTGGTTGGGCATCCGGACAATGTGGTCAGTCCAGGGGAGTTGATGGCGGAGGTCCATCGCTTCAATACTAGTGGTCTTTGCTTCTTCCAGCACGCTGACATTTGTCCGCTTGTCTTCTCAAGAGATTTGCAGGATTTTTCGGAGGCAGCGCTGATGGAATCATTCCAGGAGTTGCATGTTTGTAGACAGTCCACGTTTGCATGTGATGTTTGTAGACAGTCCACGTTTCACAGGGAGGGCAATTGCTTTATAAACAAGCCCCTTGGTCTCCCTACGGACGTCCCGGTCCTCAAACACTCTCTGCTTCATTTGGAAAAATTTTGCACTTGCAGAGCTCAGGCAGTGTTGAATTTCAGTGTCAATGTTGACTTTTGTGGAGAAGGGGCTTCCAAGGGAGCGGAAATGGTCCACATTTCCTAATGTTACACCATTAAGTTGTATTTCTGGCATTGGAGAGGGATTGTCTGGTGCCTTTTGCTGGAATAACACTTTGGTTTTTGTTCAATGAGAGGTGGAGCTTCTCGTATGCTTCTGTGAAGGTGTTTAGAGTGGCTTGTATGTCTTCTTCTGAACGTGCACAGATGACATTATCATCAGCATATTGGAGTTCTATATCAGATGTTGTTGTAACATATTTATACATGGTTATCATGTCTCCTCTCAGCCATTTCTTCTTCAGGCTAAACATGCCCAGCAGCTCTTTAAGCCGCTTCTCATAGGGCTTGATCTCCATTTCCATACTATTGGTACATAGCAGTTAAAGTGGTGCCAAACTGCATTTGTTCTCGAGTGCAGATGCAGCCGCAGTCAACCCAAACTACAACTCTGGGAGGATTTACAAGGGCAGAATAGAGCATTATTATTATTATTATTATTATTATTATTATTATTATTATTATTATTATTATTATTATCATCCATCTCCATTCATTCCCCTGTACAGACGCTCCCCTGGAATCCTTTCCCAGTGCAACGCCTCCTGTCTTTTCCTTACAGTTTTCGTCACGCTGACCTGCGCCTTCCGCTACGGCCGCGAGGACCTGGACGTGCTGGGCCTGACCTTCCGGAAGGACCTCTTTGTGGCCAACGTCCAGGCCTTCCCTCCAGTCCCGGAAGAGAAGAAGCCTCTGACGCGGCTCCAGGAACGGCTGATTAAGAAGCTGGGAGAGCAGGCGTACCCCTTTACCTTCGAGGTGGGGAGCCATTCCTTCTCCCTCTCCCGGCCTCTACTCTCGTCCATCCATTGCATTCCCTTTTTTGTCTGTCAGGCCTGTGGTCCTCCAGGTCTTCTCCAAGAGTCTTAGGGCGTACCTACCCTGTAGGATTAATGCAGTTTGATGTGACATTAACTACCATGGCTGAATGCTATGGAGCTACAGCCTGATGAGCCTCTCTCAATGGTGGAGGAGGAAGATGACATGGTTCCAGTGCTGGCTCATTCATTTAGTCCATCCAGCTGTACTCAAGTTTTTACACTGGTTGGACATTCCCTGCTCTAGTTTGTAGTATGCAACACTTGAACTGCCATGGATCTAGTGCTATGGGATCCTGGGAAATTACAGTTTGACAAGGCCTTTCTATGTGGTGGTGGAGGAGGACGATGACATGGTTCCAGCACTGGCTCATTCCCTGTTGTGGTTTGTGGTATGCGTCACTTTAACATTGTGGGAGTTGTCGTTTGGTAAGGCACCAGCACCTTTATGCAGGAAGGCTGCTTCTGATGCAGCAAATAACCTTGCAGCTTCAAAGCCTGGCTGCTTCCTGCCCGGGGGAATCCATTGTTGAGACGTATTAGCTGGCCTTGATTGACTCTTGTCTGCAAGGCCATTGAATGCTAATCAAGCTGATGGGATTTGGAGTACCTTCAACTGATTCAGCTCAGACTTCCACAGACCATTAAAACTCCCATTAATGACAGATCTGAACCAAACTTGGCACACAGAACCGCCATGACCAGCAGAAAGACCTTGTAAAACTACAGCTCCCAAGATGCCATAGCATTGGGCCAGGGCAGTGAAAAGGGTGTCAAACTGCATCGATCCTACAGTGTCGAGGAGTCTTTGGAAAACAAAGTTGGTTGCTTAAGCTTTCATAGGCATGGGGTTCATCTACACTGTAGAATTAATGCAGTTTGACACCACTTTAATTACCATAGCTTAATACTATAGGATTCCTGGAGTTGGAGGTTTGCTGAAGCCACAACACTCCTTGGAGGAAAAAGCATGAATGCTCAATATGCCCAAATGTGAACACTGGTGGAGTTTGGGGGAAATAGATCTTGACATTTGGGAGTTGTAGTTGCTGGGATTTATAGTTCACCTACAATGAAAGAGCATTCTGAACTCCACCAACGATGGAATTGAACCAAACTTGACACACAGAACTCCCATGACCAAAGGAAAATACTGGAAGGGTTCGGTGGGCATTGACCTTGAGTTTTGGAGTTGTAGTTCACCTATATCCAGAGAGCACTGTGGACTCAAACAAGGATGGATCTGGACCAAACTTGGCATGAATGCTCAATATGCCCAAATGTGAACACTAGTAGAGTTTGGGGGAAACAGACCTTGACATTTGGGAGTTGCAATTGTTGGGATTTATAGTTCACCTACAATCAAAGAGCATTCTGAACTCCGCCAACAATGGAATTGAACCAAACTTGGCACACAGAACTCCCATGATCAACAGGAGATACTGGAAGGGTTTGGTGGGCATTGACCTTGAGACTTAGAGTTGTAGTTCACCTATATCCAGAGAGCACTGTGGACTCAAACAATGATGGATCTTGACCAAACTTGGCATGAATACTCAATATGCCCAGATGTGAACACTGGTGGAGTTTGGGGAAAATAGACCTTGAAATTTGGGAGTTGCAGTTGCTGGGATTTATAGTTCACCTGCAATCAAAGAGCCTTCTGAACCCCACCAACGATAGAATTGGGCCAAAGTTCCCACACAGAACCCCCATGACCAACAGAACATACTGTTTTCTGATGGTTTTCAGCAACCCCTCTGACACCCCTCGCAACTCCCCCCAGGCTGAGAAACGCTGACTTAGAGATTTCTAGTGCGAGCAACCCTGTAGACATTTGTAGGCTTTTTAATCCACTTTTTTCCCATTTGCATTCCTAACCTCAGCAAATGTGGAAGGCTGACTATACAACCATTTAAAAAAGTTATTAAGAGACTATTGAAAATACAAACACAGTCATTAAAAGCCTTTCAAAGTGCAGTTTGCACCAAAACTGGGAGAGGGTTAGAAGAGCCAGAGAGGGGCACTTGGCAATGCGGGAAATTCCCAGGCACTTCAAATGACATGCAAACAATGCTGGGCATCTGGTTCCTGCAAAAAAACCCTGTCCGTTTCCCTTTCCAGATCCCTCCTAACCTTCCCTGTTCGGTGACGTTGCAGCCGGGACCTGAAGATACAGGAAAGGTAAGAAGACACTTTGGGAGAAGAGGACAAGGAGGAGAAGGGCCCTCCAGAGATGAACGTATGCCCATCCATACCTTCATCTCTCCTCCATCCATCCATCCATCCATCCATCCATCCATCCATCCATCCATCCATCCATCAGGCTATACAGATATTCTTCTATCCCATGTATCCATCCATCTGGTTATCCATCCATCCATCCGTCTGTCTTTCCTTCCCTCCGTCCTTCTGTACCATCTACCCATCCAGCTATCTGTTTGTCAATCCATTTATCCATCCATTCTGCTATCCAACCTACTGTCCATCTATCCAGCTATCTGTTCATCAATCCTTTTATCCATCTGTCCATCTATGTGTCCATCCATCTATCCAACTATTCATTTGGTTATCCATCTGACTGTCCATCTACCCATCCAGCTATCTGTTTGTCACTCCATTTATCCATCCATTCAGCTATCTATCCAACTGTCCATCTATCCAGCCATTCATTTGGTTATCCATCTGACTGTCCATCTACCCATCCAGCTTTCTGCCTATCAGTCAATTTTTTCCATCTGATTATTAATTTTGTTATCCATCCATCCATTTTGCTATCCATCCAACTGTTCCAACGATTCATTTGCCTATTTATCCATCCAGCTACCCATCCATCAGTCCTTTTATCCATCTGGCTATCTATCTATCTATCTATCTATCTATCTATCTATCTATCTATCTATCTATCTATCAATCATCTATCTATCTATCTATCTATCTATCTATCTATCTTGCCACCTATCCATGCATCCAACAAGCTGGCCAGCCAGCCAGCCAGCCAGCTATCCACCCACCCACCCACCCATGCATCCATCCAGTCATCCACCCACCCATCCATCCATCTTATCTATCCATACATCAATCCATCCATGCGTGCATCCATCCATCTATCCATCCATTCCTCCACCCATCCATCCATGCATCCATGCATCTTATCTGTCTATACGTCAATCCATTCATGCATCCATCCATGCATGCATGTGTGCATCCATCCATCCATCCATCCAGTCATCCATCCAGTCATCCATCCATCCATTCATCCCTCTTTCTGTCTGCCTATCTATCTGTCTATCTATCTACCTTGCCACCTATCCGTGCATCCAACAAGCCAGCCAGCTATCCATCTATCCATCTATCCATCTATCCATCTATCCATCTATCCATCTATCCATCTATCATCTATCCATCAATTAATCATCCTGATCTATCATCAATGTATCTACCTATCTATCCATCTGTTTATCCATCCATCAATCCATTCAGAATCCATCTATCTATTCATCCATCTATATATCTATCCATCCATCCATCCATCTATCTATCCATCCATCCATCTATATCATCCATCCATCCATCCATCCATCCATCCATCCATCCATCCAACCACCCACCCATCTATCTATCCATCCATCCATCCATCCATCCATCCATCCATCTATCTATCTATCCATCTATCTATCTATCCATCTATCCATCTATCTATCTATCCATCCATCCATCCATCCATCCATCCATCCATCCATCTCCATCTATCTATCTATCTATCTATCTATCTATCTATCTATCTATCTATCTATCTATCTATCTATCCATACATCAATCCATCCATCCATGCATCCATCCATCTTATCTATCCATCCATCAATCCATCCATGCGTTCATCCATCTATCCATCCATGCGTTCATCCATCTATCCATCCATCCATCCATCCATCCAGTCATCTATCCATCCATCCATCCATCCATCCATCCATCCAGTTATCCATCCATCCAGTTATCCACCCATCCACCCATCTATCCATCCAGCCATCTATCCATTCATCCATTCATTGAGCTAGCCATCTATCCATCCAGGTATCTATCCATTTATTCATCTATCCATCAATTCAGCCACTTATTCATCCATTCATCTGTCCATCCACCTATTTGCCTGGCTATCCATTCATTCATGCATCTCTCCATCTGTCTACTCATCTTTACTAGTGAAATCTGGTCTGGCATCAGAGCCCTTCTTGCATTTTTAGGAGAAGAACAGTTAGAAGAGCCAGGAGAAGAGCAATTGCAATGCCTTTAATATTGCTTAACATTAACATCTGCCTTCGCTCTGTCTGTTTCCTAGGCTTGCGGTGTTGACTATGAAGTCAAAGCCTTCTGTGCGGAAAACCTAGAAGAGAAGATCCACAAGAGGTGAGCAAAATGTTCACCCATTTTCTTGTTATCTGTCGTGGGTTTGCATTGATTTCTGGCATTCTTTGAATAGGGCAGACCCTGAATTTGGCTTTTACCATCTTGGGGTGCATCTGCATCAGGCATGGGCAAACTTTGGCCTCCTCCAGGTGTTTTGGACTCCAACTCCCACAATTCCTAACAGCCTACCGGCTGTTAGGGATTGTGGGAGTTGGAGTCCAAAACACCTGGAGGAGGACTGAAGTTTGCTCATGCCTGATCAACATGGTGGAATTCAGTTCGACACCACTTGTACTACTGTGAATCTTGGAATTTGGAGAGGTCCCTTAATTGCTGGAATAGCCATCTGTTGGGAGGGCTTTGGTTGTATTTCCCTGCAAAACAGGGCTGGGCTGGATGGCCCTTGGGGTTTCTTCCAAGGCTATTATTCTATGGGTGTGTTGGTCGTTTACACCGTCCTTGCAGTGCAGGCCCAGCCTAACCTCTTGGCAACTTTTGCAGGAACTCTGTGCGCTTGGTGATCCGCAAAGTGCAGTATGCGCCGGAGCGACCAGGACCGCAACCTATGGCAGAGACCACCAGGCAGTTCCTCATGTCCGACAAACCCTTGCATTTGGAGGCCTCTCTGGATAAAGAGGTATGGTTTGGACCTACATAAATACATAGACATAGACATAATATATACTTACTTACTTACTTACTTACTTACTTATTTAGGCGATCCCTCGTTGTGTGAGTAGGATAATCCTCCAGGGTGGGTCCGTTGGTGACTGTGGAGCCCTATTCTTGACCTGCATCTTCTCTCGCAGTGAGGGCATTGGTTTCCAGATGGAAGGCGGTCCTGGTTGAGGTTGTCTTGACGCACTTTCCTCTTGGCATGTTTATTTCCTTCGCCCTCCATTCGTGCCTCTTCAAATTCTGCAGCACTGCTGGTCACAGCTGACCTCCAGTCTGGAGTGCTCAAGGGCAAGGGGTTTCCAGTTCTCAGTGTCTATGCCAGAGTTTTTAAGGTTGGCTTTGAGCCCATCTCTAAAATCTCTTTTCCTGTCCTCCAACATTCTGTTTTCCGTTCTTGAGTTCGAAGTAGTGGGAGACGGTGGTCGGGCATCCGGACAATGTGGCCGGTCCAGCGGAGATGGTGGCGGAGGAGCATGGCTTCAATGCTGGTGGTCTTTGCTTCTTCCAGCATGCTGGCATTAGTCTGCATGTCTTCCCAAGAGATTTGCAGGATTTTCTGGAGGCAGCGCTGATGGGATCGTTCCAGGAGTTGCATGTGACGTCTGTAGACAGTCCACGTCTCGCAGGCGTATAGCAGGGTTGGGAGGACAATAGCTTTATAGACAAGCACCTTGGTCTCCCTACGGATTTCCTGGTCCTCAAACACTCTATGCTTCATTTGGAAAAAGCAGCACTCGCAGAGCTCAGGAGATGTTGTATTTCGGTGTCGATGTTGACTTTTGTGGAGAGGTGGCTGCCAAGGGAGCGGAAAGGGTCAAAATTTTCTAATGTTACACCATGAAGCTGTATCTCTGGCATTGGGGAGGGATTGGCTGGTGACTGCTGGAAGAGCACTTTGGTTTGCTCCATGTTTAATGACAGGCCGAGCTTCTCGTATGCTTCTGCGAAGGTGTTTAGAGTGGCTTGTAGGTGTTCTTCTAGATGCACACGGACGACATTGTCATCAGCATACTGGAGTTCAATAACATATGTTGTTGCGACCTTGGTTTTGGCTTTCAGTCTGCTGAGGTTGAACAGCTTGCCATCTGTCTGGTAGATGATTTCCACTCCAGTGGGAAGCTTCCCATCAACAAGGTGAAGTATCATAGCGATGAAGATGGAGAATAAGGTTGGGGCAATAACACATCATCCCTGTTTGATACCCGATTCCACCTTAAATGGGTCACTTTGGGAGCCACTGCTGTCCAAAACTGTTGCCATCATGTCATCATGGAGGAGCTGCAGGATGATCACAAATTTGTTAGGGCACCTGATTTTTTGGAGGATGGTCCAGAGAGCGCTGCCATTCACTGTGTCGAAGGCCTTTGCAAGGTCAATGAATGCCATGTAGTCCACGCACTGGTTACATCCCATATAGATTACTGCAATGCGCTCTACGTGGGGTTGCCTTTGAAGACGGCCTGGATGCTTCAAATGGTCCAACGTGCAGCAGCCAGGTGGTTAACAGGAGCGACACTCAGGGAGCACACAACTCCTTTGCTGCATCAGCTCCACTGGCTGCCAGTTTGCTACCGAGCTCAGTTCAAAGTGCTGGCTTTGGCCTATAAAGTCCTAAACGGTTCCGGCCCAGCTTATCTATCCGAACGCATCTCTTCCTACGAACCCTCCAGGAACTTGAGATCGTCCGAGGAGGCCTTGCTCTCGATCCCACCTGCTTCGCAAGCACGTCTGGCGAGGACGAGAGACAGAGCCTTCTCGGTGGTGGCCCCTCGGCTGTGGAACTCCCTGCCTAGGGATATTAGATCAGCCCCCTCCCTGCTGACCTTTCGGAAAAGAGTAAAAACTTGGCTCTTCGAGCAAGCGTTTGGAACCCCGTAATATATTTTTTTATTTGTCGTGTCAGAGCAACCAGTCCATTATATTACATTTCTAACAGAACAGAGCAAACAAATAGAAAAATACAAAACTTGTGAGTTTGGTAGTTGATTAAATGTCCTTTGACCAGTATCTGGCCACTTGGAGTGCTTCTGGTGTTGCTGCAAGAAGGTCCTCCCTTGTGCATGTGGCAGGGCTCAGGTTGCATTGCAGCAGGTGGTCAGTGGTTTGCTCTTCTCCGCACTCGCATGTCGAGGATTCCACTTTGTAGCCCCATTAGGAGGTTGGCTCTGCATCTCGTGGTGCCAGAGCGCAGTCTGTTCAATGCCTTCCAAGTCGCCTAGTCCTCTGTGTGCCCAGGGGGGAGTCTCTCATTCGGTATCAGCCATTGGTTGAGGTCCTGGGTTTGAGCCTGCCACTTTTGGACTCCCACTTGCTGAGGTGTTCCAGCGAGTGTCTCTGTAGATCTTAGAAAACTATGTCTAGATTTAAGTCGTTGACGTGCGGGCTGATACCCAAACAGGGGATGAGCTGGAGATGTCTCTGCCTTGGTCCTTTCACTATTGCCTGCTACTTCCCGGCGGATGTCAGGTGGTGCAATACCGGCTAAGCAGTCTAATTTCTCCAGTGGTGTAGGGTGCAGGCACCCTGTGATACTGCGGCATGTCTCATTAAGGGCCACATCTACTGTTTTAGCGTGGTGGGATGTGTTCCACACTGGGCATGCATACTCAGCAGCAGAGTAGCACAGCGCAAGGGCAGATGTCTTCACTGTATCAGGTTGTGATCCCCAGGTTGTGCCAGTCAGCTTTCGTGTGATATTGTTTCTAGCGCCCACTTTTTTCTTGATGTTCAGGCAGTGCTTCTTGTAGGTCAGAGCATGGTCCAGAGTGACTCCTCCCAGGTATTTGGGAGTGTTGCAATGCTCCAGTGGGATTCCTTCCCAGGTGATCTTCAGAGCTCGGGATGCTTCTCTGTTCTTGAGATGGAAGGCACATGTCTGTGTTTTGGATGGGTTCGGGATCAGCTGGTTTTCCCTGTAATAGGCAGTAAGGGCACCTAGAGCTTCGGAGAGCTTCTGTTCTACCGTCTCAAAGCTCCCTGCTTGGGCAGTAATGGCACGATCATCAGCATAGATGAAGTTCTCTGTCCCTTCTGGCAGTGGCTGGTCATTTGTGTAGATGTTGAACATGGATGGAGCAAGCACGCTCCCCTGAGGCAGGCCGTTCTTCTGTTTCCGCCATCTGCTTCTCTGGCCCTGGAACTCAACAAAGAAGCTCCTGTTTTGTAGCAGGTTTCCTATGAGGCAGGTGAGGTGGTCGTCCTTTGTGATATTATACATTTTTCTCAGGAGGAGGCAGCGGTGGTTCTCAGTATCATAGGCTGCTGACAGGTCTATGAAGACAGCTCCTGTGATCTGCTGCCTTTCAAAGCCTCGGAATAGATAGACAAACTTGAATCGGAAAATGACTCAGGAACGGCCCAAGACGATGGAACGGATGAGGATTCGAACGAGAGGACATAGTTCCTTGCTTTTAAATTGTTATTATGCACTGTTTTTATGTTTAAATGCACTATAATGTTTTTTTGCTTGTCAATGTATGTATTTTTATGGCATCGAATTGTGCCGACTGTGTATGCTGTCCTGAGTCGCCTCCGGGCTGATATGGGCGGGATAGAAATAATTTAAATAAATAAATGTACACACACACACAAATATATATATATACATACATACAATATATTTATACCCCACTCTTCTCATCTCGAAGGCTTACAAGTATGCAACAATTTGATGCCACATAAACAGACATACCAAAAAAAAAAAACCATACACATTAACAACCAAAAAATTAAAAAACAAAATATGTGGAATTTTTCGTCCCAGGTTCGATATTATTAGATACGAATAGATCTTTGAAACAAATGTTTACCTGCAGAACTCCTAAGAAGTTTGAACATTTTAGTGTGTGTGTGTGTGGGGGGGGGGGGGGGGGGGGTCATGTGGCTGTCTCATGGTTATTACCATGTATCTCAAGCAAAAAGTGGGTGCTAAAAACAATATCATACGAAAGCTGACTGGCACAACCTGGGGGTCACAACCAGACACAGTTAAGACATCTGCCTTTGCGCTGTGCTACTCTGCTGTTGAGTCTGCATGCCCATTGTGGAATACATCTCACCACGCTCAAACAGTGGATGTGGCTCTTAATGAGACATTCCACATTATCACGGGGTGTCTGCGCCCTACACCACTGGAGAAATTAGACTGCTTAGCCGGTATTGCACCACCTGACATCTGCCGGGAAGTAGCAGCCAATAGTGAAAGGACCAAGGCAGAGACATCTCCAGCTCATCCCTGTTTGGGTATCAGCCAGCACGTCAACGACTTAAATCTAGAAATAGTTTTCTAAGATCTACAGAGACACTCGCTGGAACACCTCAGCAAGCGGGAGTCCAAAAATGGCAGGCTCAAACCAGAACCTCAACCAATGGCTGATACCAAATGAGAGACACACAGAAGACGGGGCGACTTGGAAGGCGCTGAACAGACTGCGCTCTGGCACCACGAGATGCAGAGCCAACCTTCAGAAATGGGGCCACAAAGTGGAATCCACGACATGCGAGTGTGGAGAAGAGCAAACTACAGACCACCTGCTGCAATGCAACCTGAGCCCTGCCACATGCACAAGGGAGGACCTTCTTGCGGCAACACCAGAAGCACTCCAAGTGGCCAGATACTGGTCAAAGGACATTTAATCAACTACCAAACTTCACAAATTTTGTATTTTGTCTGTTTGTTTGCTTTATTCTCTTAGAAATGTAATATATTTGACTGGTTGCCCTGACACAACAGATAAAAACCATGTATCAATCAAAATCAATTTTGCTTGTCTGATGGCTTGCTTTTGCTCTGGCAACTCCATATCGTGATGACTCAATGGGTCTCTTCTCTCTGTAGATCTACTACCATGGGGAGCCCATCAACGTCAACGTCCACGTGACCAATAACACCAACAAGACAGTGAAGAAGATTAAAATCTCAGGTGAAAATGCAAAATGTCTTTTGTATGATGCATTTGGTGCTGGGGAGAAAAGGGTTTTTCAAAATTATCCGCTCCAGATTGTAGTCCGAACTTTATACACAATCTCCATCTTGGTGAACCTCTTTGGAAGGGTTGGGTTCAACCTTCCTGAATCACTTCCTTTGAAGTTCAGACAACAGGAAAATTGAGGCTTTTTTTATACCTGATATTGCGCATGTAAACAAACATTCTTGCAAAATTCGGCACTTGTGTTATAAACATTTATCACGCCTGGAAATCTGGCGTTCCTTTTTATTTTATGTTATCTTCAAAATACTACTGGCACTCTGTATCCACAGGTTCTGCATCCACAAATTTCAATCAATCGCAAATATCCCAAAATAAAATGAATTTGCAAAAAAAAAGCAGGCTTCAATTTTGGCCTTTTATGTAAGTAAAGGTAAAGGTTTTCCTCTGACATTAAGTCCAGTCGTGTCTGACTCTGCGGGTTGGTGCTTATCTCCATTTCTAAGCCAAAGAGCCGGCGTTGTCCATAGACACCTCCAAGGTCATGTGACTGTCATGACTGCATGGAGCGCCATATCCTCCTACTGAAGTAGTACCTATTGATCTACTCACATTTGCATGTTTTCGAACTGCTAGGTTGGCAGGAGCTGGAGCTAACAGCCAGAGCTCACCTTTCTCCTTGAATTTCAACTGGTGACCTTTTGGTCAGCAAGTTCAGCAGTTCAGCGGTTTAACCCACTGCGCCACTGGGGGCTCCTGACCTTTTATATAAGATACACCATTTTATTATATATTATTATTATTATTATTATTATTATTATTATTATTTTGTGTACTGGAGCTTGAGCACCTGCAGATTACCAGCATATATCCAAAGTCCAACGAACCAAATTCTTAGTCCTTCAAAGTGACAAAAGAAGACATTGCTTTGGTGAAATCCCAAATGCTCCAAAGGAGCCAAGTGTTGCGTTTTAAATTAATTTTCAGTCACCAAGGCCTTTATATTTCTGTTTTCCCTGCTATTTCAATCACTATTGACTTCAGGCTTTGTTTTCTGTAAAGGTAAAGGTATTAATTTTCCCCTGACATTAAGTCCAGTCGTGTCTGACTCTGGGGTGTGGTGCATTTCTAAGCCAAAGAGCCGGCGTTGTCCATAGACACCTCCAAGGTCATGTGGCCGGCATGATTGCATGACGTGTAACTGGGTTTTATTGTCCTGATATTTTCACTCCCTTGCAAATACGCCCTTCTAAAGCCTTATCTCCTGTAAAAAAAAAAAAAGCAATTTTTTTCTGCTGCTGGCATTGCAGGACATGCATGTACTGATGATTTGTCCGCTCTGGGTTTTAGTCTGAACTTTAAAGCTCCCTAACCTCTTTTGTAGCTAGGTTTCACAACCTTTTGTGTGTCTTTTTTCAAGTTCAGACTAAGCCCCAGATTGGATTTGCTAGCCCAATGGTCTTCAAGGTACTAGCCAAAAACTGGACGTGAGTATTCCAGGCATTTGTTGTGTCAAGACTGTCTTTGTCTCTCTTGATTTGCTTCCAGTACGGCAGTATGCAGACATTTGCCTGTTCAACACAGCGCAGTACAAGTGCCCCGTGGCCGTGGAGGAGGCAGAGTGAGTATCACAGTATCCTCAGGTTGGGAACCAATAATAATAATAATAATAATAATAATAATAATAATAATAATAATAATAATAATAATAATGACGACGACAACAACAACAACAACATGGTTGTGGCAAAAGACAAAGGGGGAATACCGTAAAAATACAATCCAGAGCAGAAGAGAAACCTGGCCAAAGAAGGCTCTTGGACAGTTCCTGGGGAAAATTGAGAGCAAATTGACAAAGAAAAAACATGGCTGTGGCTCACAAATGGAACTCTGAAAAAGGAGACAAAGGAGGGCCTGATTCCGGCAGCCCAAGAACAAGGCATTAGAACCAAGGCCATCCAAGCCAGAACTGAAAAGTCGACAACAGACCCCAAGTGTAGACTCATCTGCAAGGAAGAAGATGAAACAAGAGATCCCATCCTCAGCTGCTGCAAGAAGATCACGCAGATAGACTACAAGCAGAGGCACAACACTGTGGCTCAGATGATTCATTTGAAATGTCAACGACAGATCCCAAGTGTAGACTCTGCAAGGAAGCAGGTGAAACAAGAGATCCCATCCTCAGCTGCTGCAAGAAGATCGCGCAGATGGACTCCAAGCAGAGGCATAACACCCTTGCTTGGATGATCCATTGGAACTTGTGCCACAAAGACCATCTGCCTGCGACAAAGAACTGGTGGGATCACAAGCCGGAAAAAGTTCCAGAGAATGAACACGCCAAACTCCTCTGGGACTTCCGGATTCAGACAGACAGAGTTTTGGAGCATAATACTCCTGACCTCACCATCGTATTAAAAAAAAGTATGGATTGTTGATGTTGGAATCCCAAACGACAGCAGGATTGACGAGAAGCAACTGGAAAAGCTGACACAATATGAGGATTTAAAGATTGAACGGCAAAGTCTCAGGCACAAGCCAGTCAAGGGGGTCCCAGTGGTGATCGGCACACTGCGTGCAATGTCTAAAGACCTTGGCCTGCACTTAAAAACAATCGGGACTGACAAAATTACCATCTGTCAGCTGCAAAAGGCCACCCTACTGGGATCTGCATGCATTATTTGCCTTTACATCACACAGTCCTAGACACTTGGGAAGTTTCCGACGTGTGATCCAATACAGCAGCTGGCAGAGTGATCTTGTATGCTGTGGACTCAGTCTGGTATTGTGCTCCAACATTCTGTCAGTCTGAATTCGGAAGTCCCAGAGTAGTTTGACATGCTCATTTTCTGTAATTTTTTTCCAGCTTGTGATGCCACCAGTTCTTTGTCGTAGGCAGATGGTCTTTGTGGCACAAGTTCCAATGAATCGTCTGAGCAACAGTGTTGTGCCTCTGCTTGGAGTCTGTCTGGCGATCTTCTTGCAGCAGCTGAGGATGGGATCTCTTGTTTCATCTGCTTCCTTGCAGAACCTGCACTTGGAATCTTGTCGTCGACTTTTCAATTTTAGCTTTGATGGCATTTGTTCAAATTATTATTATTAACCACCATGTCAGACTAAACAGAGAAGCCATTGACATCCACAAGCATGTGGACAATTTCAACAGTAAGGAGGAAACCATGAAAATGAACAAAATCTGGCTACCAGGATCAAAAAAACTCTAAAATCACAACAGCAAAACAACAGAGAGGAAACAATCAGGGACAGCTAATCACCTCTCAACAAAAGATTGCCCCAGGCACTGCCAAGCCATCAAATGCTAATCAAGGTGGTTTTATACACAATATAAAAACATGTTGAATGTTTTTATATTGTGTAAATGCTATTTTAAATTGTAAGTTGCTCAGAGCACCTCGGTGGAGAGCAACTAATTAAGAAATAAACTGAAGTGAAGCGAAGTTGAAACATTCACCCCCTAGCTCCAGCAGACAAGAGTCCTTTGTCCCACCCTGGACATCATTCCACAGATATATAAACCTTTTTTCCTAGTTCCAACAGACCTCACTACCTCTGAGGATGCTTGCCATAGATGCAGGCGAAATATCAGGAGAGAATGCCTCTAGAACATGGCCATATAGCCCGAAAAAACCTACAACAACCTATTGCTGTCGTTATTGTTATTATTATTATTACTATTATATTGTTGTTGCTGCTGCTGCTGCTGTTGGTATTGTTGTTATTATTAAAAATGATGGAAAGATCTTTAGATCCACAGTCTTCCTCTCACTCCTATTCAACCTGATAGACAATTGGCAAAATGCAATGCAGGTGTCCTTTTCCCAATGTTGCGGTTTTCAAAGTCAACTGATGCGTGCCGTTGTTGCCTTCCCTTCTTTCTAGTGACGTGGTGGCTCCGAGTTCGACGTTCTGCAAAGTCTACACGTTGACCCCGTTCCTTGCCAACAACCGAGAGAAACGCGGCCTGGCCTTAGACGGGAAGCTCAAGCACGAGGACACCAACCTGGCCTCCAGCACACTGTGAGCAACCCTTTTTCTATGGTAAAGGGTGCATCTACTCTGCAGGACTAATGCAGTTTGATACCACTTTAGTCTCCATGGGTCAGTGCTGTGGATAGGAGCCTCCGGTGGCGCAGTGGGTTAAACCCCTGTGCTGGCAGGACTGAAGACCAACAGGTCACAGGTTCGAATCCAGGGAGAGGCAGATGAGCTCCCTCTACCAGCTCCAGCACCTCATGCGGGGACATGAGAGAAGCCTCCAAATACCCGATACTCCCACATTTGAATAATAGTGGGCTTTGGGGGTGATTTATTTTGTCATTTGGGAGTTTTAGTTTCTGGGAATTATAGTTGACCTACAATTAAAGCGCATTCTGAACTCCACCAACAATGGAATTGAACCAAACTTGGCACACAGAACTCCCATGACCAACAGAAAATACTGCAAGGGTTTGTTGGGCATGGACCTTCAGTTTTGGAGTTGTAGTTCACCTCCATCCAGAGAGCACTATGGATTCAAACAATGATGGATCTGGACCAAACTTGGCATGAATACTCAATATGGCCAAATGTGAGCACTGGTGGAGTTTGGGGAAAATAGACCTTGACATTTAAGAGTTGTGCTTGCTGGGATTTAGTTCACCTACAATCAAAGAGCATTCTGAACCCCACCAGCGATAGAATTGGGCCAAACTTGGCACATAGAACTCCCATGACCAACAGAAAACAGGAGTATGGGGAATATAGACCTTGAAATTTGTGAGTTGCAGTGTGCTGGGATTTATAGTTCACCTCCGCCAACGATAGAATTGGGCCAAACTTCCCACACAGAACCCATATGCCCAACAGAAAATACTGTGTTTTCTGATGGTCTTTGGTGACCCCTCTGACACCCCCCCCTCGCGACCCCCCAGGGGTCCCGACCCCCAGGTTGATAAACGCTGGTCTATAGTGTCAAGATGTTGTTGTTGTCACTACTACTACTACTATTCTGCTTTCCTCCCTTAAGAGATTCACTTCGAAGTGGCTCAGTTGAGTTTGAGTTCAGACTCATACCCAAAGCAGACCCCCGCCTCCCGGTATGGAAACCATCAGTCCGCACGAAGGGAAGGAAGCAAGAAGGGTTGCAATCAATGAATACGAGTAGTCGTGGTCTTTCTTTACTTCTCCTTGGAAGCTCACCTCCCTTTCCTCCATCCCCAGGTTGAGAGACGGCGCCAACAAGGAGGTCCTGGGCATCATCGTCTCCTACAAAGTGAAAGCCAAGCTGGTGGTCTCTCGAGGAGGGTGAGTCCCCTTCCACGCATCCCTTGCTCATGTACCATGCGTGTCTCCACTGTAGAACGAATGGCGCTTGTCACACTTTTACTGCCATGGCTCAATGCTGGGGAATAATGGGAGTTGTTGATTTGCTGTGAGTATTTTGGGCCGTATGGCCATGTTCTAATTACAACATTCACATTTGCTTCAAACAGACAAAGGTTCTTCCTCCCACCCTGGACATTATTTCACAGATATAGCTATAGATATATATTATGTTTGTTTGATAAAAAAAAATTGGTTTCGGATGTAGCGGGTGCTGGTGGTTCGATTCTAAAGTCAATTCCGATTTTCACAGAAAAAATTCAAAACTTTTCAAAACTTCTGAGACTTCCGAATCCTTTTGTTAATGGTTTGAAAGTGTTATTTCCTGTTTCATTGGGTGGTCTTTACTTTGAAAGTAGTTGTTTTATTCCAGAAGCTGTTTAAAATTTGTTTAAACTGGCTTTAAACCTGACTTTTCTGGCTTGAGCTGAGGCCAGGAAATTTTTTCCTTCTCTGGTTTAAAACGGGCTTCTCTGGCTTTTAAACTGGCTTCTCTGGCTTGAGCCGAGGCCAGGAAATTCCTTCCTTCCCTGGTTCAGGTTTAAAACTGGCTTCTCTGGCTTGAGCCGAGGCCAGGAAATTCCTTCCTTCTCTGGTTTAAAACTGGCTTCTCTGGCTTGAGCCGAGGCCAGGAAATTCCTTCCTTCTCTGGTTCAAATCTGGCTTCTCTGGCCTTAAAACTGGCTTCTCTGGCTTGAACCGAGGCCAGGAAATTCCTTCCTTCTCTGGTTTAAAACTGGCTTCTCTGGCTTGAGCCGAGACCAGGAAATTCCTTCCTTCCCTGGTTCAAATCTGGCTTCTCTGGCCTTAAAACTGGCTTCTCTGGCTTGAACCGAGGCCAGGAAATTCCTTCCTTCTCTGGTTTAAAACTGGCTTCTCTGGCTTGAGCCGAGGCCAGGAAATTCCTTCCTTCCCTGGTTTAAAACTGGCTTCTCTGGCTTTAAATTTGGCTTCTCTAGCTTGAGCTGAGACCAGGAAATTCCTTCCTTCTGGTTTAAAACTGGCTTCTCTGGCTTGAGCCGAGGCCAGGAAATTCCTTCCTTTTCTGGTTTAAAAAAACTGGCTTCTCTGGCTTGAACCGAGGCCAGGAAATTCCTTCCTTCTCTGGTTTAAAACTGGCTTCTCTGGCTTGAGCCGAGACCAGGAAATTCCTTCCTTCCCTGGTTCAAATCTGGCTTCTCTGGCCTTAAAACTGGCTTCTCTGGCTTGAACCGAGGCCAGGAAATTCCTTCCTTTTCTGGTTTAAAACTGGCTTCTCTGGCTTGAGCCGAGGCCAGGAAATTCCTTCCTTCCCTGGTTTAACTTCTCTGGCTTTAAAACTGGCTTCTCTGGCTTGAGCCGAGGCCAGGAAATTCCTTCCTTCTCTGGTTTAAAACTGGCTTCTCTGGCTTAAGCCGAGGCCAGGAAATTCCTTCCTTCTCTGGTTTAAAACTGGCTTCTCTGGCTTAAGCCGAGGCCAGGAAATTCCTTCCTTCCCTGGTTTAAAACTGGCTTCTCTGGCTTTAAATTTGGCTTCTCTAGCTTGAGCTGAGACCAGGAAATTCCTTCCTTTTCTGGTTTCAAACTGGCTTCTCTGGCTTGAGCCGAGGCCTGGAAATTCCTTCCTTTTCTGGTTTAAAACTGGCTTCTCTGGCTTGAGCCGAGTCCAGGAAATTCCTTCCTTCCCTGGTTCAAATCTGGCTTCTCTGGCCTTAAAACTGGCTTCTCTGGCTTGAGCCGAGACCAGGAAATTCCTTCCTTCCCTGGTTCAAATCTGGCTTCTCTGGCCTTAAAACTGGCTTCTCTGGCTTGAACCGAGGCCAGGAAATTCCTTCCTTCTCTGGTTTAAAACTGGCTTCTCTGGCTTGAGCCGAGGCCAGGGACCAGAAGCGGGGAAAAGGTAAATCATTTCCGACTCACTTCCTGAGTCATAACAAAAATGGCAGAAAAAGCTTCGGAAGACCAAAGGGACTTCCGGTTTTCTTAAAAATTTTGAAATCCCTTCAAAAAGGTAATTTTTCCAACTTTATTCTGAATTACGAAGATTCCGACAGTACCTAGCCATTATATATATATATGTGTGTATGTACACACACACACACACACACACACACACACACACACACACACACATACACACACACTCCACTTGCCTCACTGCCAACAGAATCTCTGAGGATGCCATTGGCCACAGGATGCAGGCAAAACATCAGGAGAGAATGCTACTGCAACATGGCCATACAGTCCAAAAAGCTCACAGATACCCAGTGATCCTGGCAATGAAAGCCTTCAACAACACAGTGTGAGTTGTAGTTTGGTGAGGGTTTCAGCACTCTTGGGAAGAGACGGTGGAAGACCTTGTGAAACTACAATTCCCAGAATCCCAGGGCATTTGAGCCAGGGCAGTCCAATAAGGGGCATCTCTTAAAACGGGAGCTGGCAGACCTGTAAGAGACAAGATATCTGACCCTACAACAGGCATTGGCAACCTTGGGCCTCCCAGGTGTATTGGACTCCAACTCCCACAATTCCTAAGCCCTATAGAAAGAATAAGCTTTTTGGGCCTAAAACAAAGAACACCCCATTGTATTAAGGGGTCCCTCCAGCCTTATTATGACACACTTTCTGGTATTTCTTATATTCAGTAGCACCTGCCATGCCTATAAAGGACATGTTTTCTCACCCTCAAATAAGGGATGCCCCTTTAAATAAGGGTTGAATTAAAGTCAAGATATCTGGCATTCAGTGCCATATACACACAATATATATAGTCAGACACACAGAGGCCATTTAACATTTCAGCTTCATGAGGATATTCTGGTCACCGGGGGAGCTGTCGCTTCACCGTCCATTTGTGACACTGATGGAGTACTTCCTCATTCTTTGCATGCTTTCTGGAGATTTTTATGGCGTCGTAAATTAGTTAAATTAGCCTCCCCGCATAAGTGGTACCTAAATTTCCTACTTGACAGATGCAACTGTCTTTCGGGCTGCATAGGTCGACAGCAAGCTACACACAATGGTTGGAAGCTCACTCTGACCCAGGCTGGCTTTGAACTCAGTCAGTCGTGATCTAATGCAGCTGACTCCCAGTCAACTGCACCACAGCTCTATTCTGCCTTGGTTTAAGCACAATCAAGGCACCCCTGACTGATGGCCATCCAGCATCTGTTTAAAAGCCTTCAAGGAAGGAGCTTCCACTGCAATTCGAGGCCGAGAGTTCCATTGCTGAGCAGCTCTTTCGATTGTCAGGAAATTCAATGGAATTCATTTGAACCCATGGCTCCACTGAGTCCTAGTTTCCAGGGCAGCAGAGAGGAAGCCTCTTCTTCTTCCTTATCACATCTGTAATAATAGGTGGGGGCTTTTTGGGGGGGGGGATAAAAATCCCCAAAAGCAGAACACCACTTAGATTGGAATGAGGCTTCTGTGATTAAAAGCCCCAAAACAAAAGCTTTAAGGAAAGCTAGAACTTCCTTCTGGCCGAAAACCCTTTTTGAAAGCCCACTGGCCGCCACCAACTTAAAAGCACTGATAAGCCCTTGGCTTACTTGAGGTATTTTAGGCAAGAGTGTGTTGGATTAGCCCTGAGGTAACACTAAAAGATGATTCTTTAAATTATACGCTGCCACCATAGACTCTTGATTGTTGCAGGAAACTGCTTTTAAAACTTTACCCACAGAGGCACACGTGAGGCAGTTGTTGTGAACAACAAAACAATGATGTTTATTTAAGAGAACTGCAACAATTCAGGTATCAAGCTTAGCTCTTTCAAACATACTGACTTAAAAGCGTGTGGTTACTTTAAACAGTTCAGACTTAACTACACACAAAAACCCTTTTTGAAAGCCTATGGGCCGCCACCAACTTAAAAGCACTGATAAGCCTTTGGCTTACTTGAGGTATCTTAGGCAAGAGTGTGTTGGATTAGCCCTGAGGTAACACTAAAAGATGGTTCTTTAAATTATATGCTGCCACCATAGACTCTTGATTGTTGCAGGAAACTGCTTTTAAAACTTTACCCACAGAAGCACACGTGAGGCAGTTGTTGTGAACAACAAACAATGATGTTTATTTAAGAGAACTGCAACAATTCAGGTATCAAGTTTAGCTGTTTCAAAAATGCTGACTTAAAAGCGTGTTCAGACTTAGCTACACACAAAACACTTCTCTCTCCCTCCTCAGATTACTGACAGGATGGCTTCTCTGACAGTAATTTCTAAACTCTGTTTATGCTGTTTTATATTGTTGTTATTATTACATTGCTGTTAATTGTATATTTATGTTTTGATGTGGGCACCATGGGGTGCCACTTTGTTAGCCCTCCTGAGTCCCTCTGTGGAGGTTGAGAAAGGACAGGATATAAAAACCCTAAATAAATAAATAAATAAAATAAACTCCTCCACGCAGACAGTCCTTGTCTTTTGGGATCTGTCTCTCCACTCCCCAGCCATCCTTCCCAAATAGCTGTAATCTTCTCACTAGCTTTCTCTCCTAGGCAACTGACCGGGCATGTTTAGTCTGAAGAAGAGAAGGCTGAGGGGAGACATGATAGCCATGTATACATATGTCAGGGGAAGTCACAGGGAGGAGAGAGCAAGCTTGTTTTCTTCTGGAGAGTGACCACGTACCTCTTTTTGTCGTTCCGAACACAATGTTGTCTTCTTACTGTATTTCCTTCTGCCTGTCCTCTCTACTCTGTCTCCTATGAGTTTATCCCTTTCAAACATTTCTTTTTCATTTTCTCATCCAGAGTTTCAACATTTTATGTTGTACAATGTGGCCCGCTCTTTGTGATTGGTTTTTCATTGCATTATTTTGTTTTGTTTTATTTTGCTTTGTTCTACTGTATTCCTAAGTTTTGCTTTTGGTTTATTTTGTATTTTGCTGTAATGTATTTCTGGGCTTGGCCTCATGTAAGCCGCCCTAAGTCCCTTTGGATGCCATTTGAGTGAAGAGTGTGATGCAGCAGCTAAAAAGACCAATGGTATATTGGTCTGCATCAGCTGTTTTTCCCTGTAATAGGCAATAGGAGCACCTAAAGCTTTGGAGATCTTCTGTTCGACAATTTCAAAGCTCTCTGCTTGGGCAGTGATGGCATGATCATCAGCATAGATTAAACTTTCTGTCCCTTCTGGCATCCAAAGGAGATGGTGGCGGGGTATAAATAAAGATTTATTATTATTATTATTATTATTATTATTATTATTATTATTATTAAGACCACAAGATGAGTCCACAGCAAACACTCTGCTGCCTGTTGTATTGGATCACACGTCGGACACTTCCCAAGTGTCTAGGGCTGTGTGATGTATCGGCAAATAATGCATGCAGATCCCAGTAAGGGTGGCCTTCTGCAACTTCCAGATTGTAATCTTGTCAGCGCCGATTGTGTTTAAGTGCAGGCCAAGGCCTTTAGGCACTGCACCCAGTGTGCCCATCACCACTGGGATCCCCTTGACTGGCGTGTGCCAGAGTCTTTGCAGTTCAGTCTTTAAATCTTCATATCGTGTCAGCTTTTCCAGTTGTTTTTCTGCAATCCAACTATCACCTGGGATTGCAACATCCACAATCCATACTTGGTGTTTTAACACAATCTTGAGGTGAGGAGTCTTGTGCTCCAAAATTCTGCCTGTCTGAATTCGGAAGTCCCAGGGTAGTTTGACATGTTCATTCTATGTAACTTTTTCCAGCTTGTGATCCCACCCGTTCTTTGTCACAGGCAGATGGTGTTTGTGACACAAGTTCCAATGGATCCTCTGAGCAACAGTGTTGTGCCTCTGCTTGTAGTCTGTCTGCGGGCTCTTCTTGCAGCAGTTCAGGATGTGCTCTATTGTTTCATCTGCTTCCTTGCAGAGTTTGTATTTGGGATCTGTCGTTGACTTTTCAATTCTGGCTTTGATAGCATTGGTTCTAATGGCTTGTTCTTGGGCTACCAGAATCAGGCCCTCATTATTATTATTATTATTATTATTATTATTATTATTATTGTATTGTCGAAGGCTTTCATGGCTGGAATCACTGGGTTGTTGTAGGTTTTTTTGGGGCTATATGGCCATGTTCTAGAGGCATTTCTCCTGACGTTTCGCCTGCATCTATGGCAAGCATCCTCGGAGGTAGTAAGCTCACTACATGGCCATATAGCCCGAAAAACCTACAACAACCCTATTATTATTATTATTATTATTATTATTATTATTGACACAAAAGCACAGTATGTCACAGCAAACGAGATCTATATGCTGGATTTCGTATCCCAAAACCACAAGTCGAACACTTCCCAAGCGTCTAGGACTGTGTGATGTATTTTCGAAGGATGCACGCAGATCCAAGTCAGGTGGCCTTTTGCAGTTGACAGATCGTGATTTTTTCAATGTTGATTGTTTCCAAAATGCCGGCTGAGATCTTTTGGCACGGCACCCAGTGCGCCAATGACCACTGGGACCACCTGGACTGATTTATGCCATAAACTTTGCAGTTCGATTTTGAGGTCTTGATAGCGGTCTTGATATTATTATTAATATATCATAGAATCATAGAATCATAGAATCAAAGAGTTGGAAGAGACCTCATGGGCCATCCAGTCCAACCCCCTGCCAAGAAGCAGGAATATTGCATTCAAATCACCCCTGACAGATGGCCATCCAGCCTCTGCTTAAAAGCTTCCAAAAAAGGAGCCTCCACCACACTCCGGGGCAGAGAGTTCCACTGCTGAACGGCTCTCACAGTCAGGAAGTTCTTCCTAATGTTCAGATGGAATCTCCTCTCTTGTAGTTTGAAGCCATTGTTCCGCGTCCTAGTCTCCAAGGAAGCAGAAAACAAGCTTGCTCCCTCCTCCTCCCTGTGGCTTCCTCTCACATATTTATACATGGCTATCATATCTCCTCTCAGCCTTCTCTTCTTCAGGCTAAACATGCCCAGTTCCCTAAGCCGCTCCTCATAGGGCTTGTTCTCCAGACCCTTGATCATTTTAGTCACCCTCCTCTGGACACATTCCAGCTTGTCAATATCACAAGATATTATATTATATTATTAGTATATTTATTATTATTATTACTATTACTATTATTATTATTATTATTATTATTATGCCCTGGAGACTAGAACGCAATGGAGCAATGGCTTCAAGCTACAGGAAACCTGAACATTAGCAAGAACTTTCTGCCTGTGAGAGCTGTTCAGCAGTGGAACTCTCTGCCCCAGAATGTGGTGGAGCTGGGCATGTTTGGCCTTCAGAAGAGAAGGCTGAGAGGAGACATGATAGCCATGTATAAATATGTCAGAGGAAGTCATAGGGAGGAGGGAGCAAGCTTGTTTTCTGCTTCCCTGGAGACTAGGATGCAAGGGAGCAATGGCTTCAAACTACAAGAAAGGAGATTTCACCTGAAAATGAGGAAGAAATTCCTGACTGTGAGAGCTGTTCAGCAGTGGAACTCTCTGCTCCAGAGTGTGGTGGAGGCTCCTTCTTTGGAGGCTTTTAAACAGAGGCTGGATGGCCACTGTCAGGGGTGATTTGAATGCAATATTCCTGCTTCTTGGCAGAATGGGGTTGGACTGGATGGCCCAGGAGGTCTCTTCCAACTCTTGATTGTATGATTCTATGATGTTCCTGACTGTGAGCTGTTCAGCAGTGGAACTCTCTGCCCTGGAGTGTGGTGGAGGCTCCTTCTTTGGAGGCTTTTAAACAGAGGCTGGATGGCCATCTGTTGGGGGGGCTTTGAATATTTTCCTGCATTTTGGCAGAATGGGGTTGGACTGGATGGCCCATGAGGTCTCTTCCAACTCTATGATTCTATGATTCTACAGGTATGGGCAAACTTCGACGCTCCAGGTGTTTTGGACTTCAACTCCTACAATTCCTAACAGCTGGTAGGCTGTTAGGAATGGTGGGAGTTGAAGTCCAAAACACCTGGAGGGCTGAAGTTTTCCCATGCCTCATCTGGATTGCACAAGGTCTTGCTAGAGCACTTGTAGGGCTTGGACATTGACCTTCTGCCCCCATTGACTGCACATTGGATGCTTGGAGCCTCTTGACTAATTCTCTCATCTCCTTTGCCAACCACACCAGCCTCCTGGGAGACCTGGCGTCCAGGTAACGCCCCCAAATCCCTTGCTTGCTGCAACTGAATGTGGCCCCAAACCCCCTCTTCATGCATGCTCACCCTTGGCATTGTGTAGTCTCATTCCTCCACCTCCATCGTCACTTGCATTTTAAAAAAAAATCCCATCTCAGTCATTTCCTTTAAATCTGGGCTTTGTAAAGTATTATTATTATTATTATTATTATTATTATTTTACTGACACAAAAACACAGTATGTCACAGCAAATGATGATATATATATGCTGGATTTCGTATCACAAAATTGCAAGTCGAAGCTGACTGGCACAACCTGGGGATCACAACCGGACACAGTGAAGACATCTGCCCTTGCGCTTTGCTACTCTGCTGCCGAGTACGCACATCTCACCATGCTAAAACAGTGGATGTGGCTCTTAATGAGACATGCTGCATTATCACAGGATGTCTACGCCCAACACCACTGGAGAAATTTTATTGTTTAGCCGGTATTGCACCACCTGACATCTGCTGGAATGTAGCAGCCAGCAATTAGAGGACCAAGGAAGTGACATCTCTGGCCCATCCTCTGTTCCGATATCAGCCAGCATGCCAATGCGTTAAGTGAAGAAATAGCTTCCTAAGATCTACAGAGATACTTGCAGGAACACCTCAGCAAGCAAGAGTCCAAAAGTGGCAGGCTAAAACCCAGAATGTCAATCAGTGGCTGAGGCAACAGCAAGGGTCTCCCTCTGGGCAGCTCAACCAGGAAATACTAACTGGATGGCCCCCCACGAGAGAGGGTCTTCCTCCAGGGGCCAGCCAAGAATGGGCAACTTGGAAATTCCCGAACAGGCTCAGAAATGGAGTGGACAGATCAAAAAACAACCTGGAAAAATGGCACGACCTAAAAGAATCCCACACCTTGTGTGACTGTGGAGCAGAACAGACAACTCTGCATCTCTATCCTTGTCCTCTATGATTTGCCTCATGTACAGAGGAAGAATTGTTGTGTTGGGACTCAGTCTGTGATTCAACCTGAGCCTGGGCTTGAACCTGTGAATGTGTTTCAGTCTCCCGATGTTTCTGTGTCTGATGTGGATAATGAGGATGGAAATCTGCGCAGCCCACCTCCTTCAAGATGAACTGAACCACCTGAACTGGGCTCTCCAGGCCAATGGAGACTCCACCTCAGACATCAGAAGAGCTGCAAGACCAAGAACAAGCCACGAGAGTCAAGATGAAGATCCACCCAGAGGAAAAGTGTTCTTGCCAGACATCAAGGGAACCACTGACTGCAGAGGGAAGCTGAGGAGGAAACACAACATGCAAACTATCTACAGACCCACCAAGAAAATCCAAACAATGCTACATTCAGCAAAGGGCAAGAGGGATCCTCTCACTTCTGCAGGAGTCTATCGCATACCTTGCAGCTGTGGACAAGTCTCCATAGGGACCACCAAACACAGCATTGCCCAGACACCAATCAAGGAACATGAAAGGCACTGCAGACTACTCCAACCAGAGAAGTCAGCCATAGCAGAGCACCTGATGAACCAGCCTGGACACAGCACATTATTTGAGAACACAGAAATGCTGGACCTCTCTCACAACCACCATGTCAGACTACACAGAGAAGCCATTGAAATCCACAAGAAGCATGTGGACAATTTCAACAGAAAGGGGAGGAAACCATGAAAATGAACACAATCTGGCTACCAGTATTAAAAAACTCTAAAATCACAACAGTAAAACAACAGAGAGGAAACAAACAAGGACATCTAATCACCTCTCAACAAAAGATTGCCCCAGGCACTGCCAGGCCATCAGATGCTAATCAAGGTGGTCAGTTGAAACATTCACACATAGCTCCAACAGACAAGAGTCCTTTGTCCCACACTGGTCATTCCACAGATATATAAACCCCTTTTCCTATTTCCAACAGACCTCACTATCTCTGACTATGCTTGCCATAGATGCAGGAGAAACGTCAGGAGAAAATGCCCCTAGAACAGTGTTTCTCAACCTTCCTAATGCCGTGACCCCTTAATCCAGTCCCTCATGTTGGGGTGACCCCCCAAACATAATATTGTTTTCGTTGCTACTTCATAACAGTCATTTTACTACTGTTATAAATCATAATGTACACATCTGATATGCAGTGTGTATTTTCATTCACTGGGCCAAACTGGGCACAAATACCCAATACACCCAAATGTGAATGCTAGTGGGGTTGGGGGAGGATTGATTTTGTAATTTGAGAGTTGTAGTTGCTGGGATTTATAGTTCACTTATAATCAAAGAGCATTCTGAACTCCACCAGCGATGGATTTGAACCAAACTTGGCTCCCATGACCAATGGAAAACACTGGAAGGGTTTGATGGGCATTGACCTTGAGTTTGGGAGTTGTAGTTCACCTATATCCAGAGAGCACTGTGGACTCATGCAATGGTGGATCTGGACCAAACTTGGCACGAATACTCAATATGCCCAAATGTGAACACTGGTGGAGTCTGGGGAAAATAGATCTTGACATTTGGGAGTTGTAGTTGCTGGGATTTATAGTTCATTACAATCAAAGAACATTCTGAACTCCACCAACGATAGAATTGGCTCAAACTTCTCACATGGAATCCCCATGACCATCAGAAAATACTGTGTTTTCTTATGGTCTTTGGCGACCCCTCTGACACCCCCTCGCGACCCCCTCAGGGGTCCCGACCCCCAGGTTGAGAAACACTGCCTTAAGATAAGCTCTCTGCTGCGGGTAATAAGGAAGGAAATCAGTCCCCTGTTGCTTCTGATGTGGGGGATGCTGGGACTGACTCTGAACTGCAAGATGGAGACGCTTTGGTCAATGAGTTTCATGCTGACACTGACAGAGAGGCTTCGGTGCAAAGGGCAGATTCTCAAGAGAATGTTTCTCCAGATTCTAGTTTGGAAAACAGTCTGACACCTGGTAAAGTTAATGAGGAGTCAGATAAGAAGAGTCGGCGGCTGAAGATGAGACAGAATCGACAAGAGATCCAATGTTTACATAGATCCGAAAGAATTCATCAATTAAAGTCAAAGACTGGAGAAAAACGGAACCAGTTATTGGGATTTAAGGTGTGCCTGTAGAAAATCTTGTCAGATCAGGCATCATTTGGAAACCAAGCTCAAGACTCATGGAATTCCTGTTCAAGTGATCTCGTCTTCATGGTTTTTTCTAGCCTTTCAACTTGACTAGCAGCGTCTGGTCTGTTCTTGCTTCTTGGTTGCTTCTTGGTTGGATTATCTGTGCCTTGGAATATTATTTTATGCTTTTGAATGCTATGTTTGGAAACTGTGTCTTCTTCCTGCCTTTAAATGCCTTATTGCTTTTTGGAATCTTATCTGTTCTTACAAGCATTTATTTCTACTGGCTTTTTTGCTAAGCTTTAATAAAAAGGACTGTTCCTTCACTCAACGTGTGGTGTGTTTATAGTCAGAAGGGCCATTTCCTGTTCCGGAGTGCAACATGTTGGAGGCTACAGACAATGCCGTTGCTGTTGCCCGTTTTTGGTCAAAAGATATTTAGCCGCCTGCACTCCTTCGATTTTTATCAGTTTTATACTAATTTATGCAATGCCTTTGATACGAAATAAATACTAACTAAACTCCATCATCAACTTATTATACTTTCCTTTCCCTTTCCTCCCACTCTTGTGGTATAAAACTGTGAAAATGAAATAAAAAATATGCATGACTAAAAAAGAAAAATAAATAATGCCAGAGGTTGACATTCTGTCCTCTTTTCCAGCGACGTGGCTGTGGAGCTGCCCTTCACCCTGATGCACCCCAAGCCGAAGGAGGAGCCCCTGCATCGAGACGGTGAGTTGAATCCTCCCTATGTTATGCTATGGAACCCTGGGAGTTGTAGTTTTGCATGGTCTCCAGCCTTCTCTTCCAATGAGTGATGGTGCTTCACCAAACTACAACTCCCAGAGGGGTGTTTTATTTATTTATTTTATTTGGTTCATTTATTAACCGCCATTCTCAGCCCACTCGGGCGACTCACGGCGGTGTACAGTACAAAAGGCAATTCACATCAAAGCAATTACAAACAACATATTAGCAATATAACAATACAACAGTTAAAATTACACTAACTAAACCGCTTCGTCTCGTAATAGAATCGTGACCAATCTCGTATTCCTTGTACCATTCCAGTCGTCTTTACCACATTACTATAGCACTTAATTAAATGCCCTCTCGAACAGCCACGTCTTGAGGCTTTTTCGGAAGGACATAAGGGAGGGCGCCTGCCTGATGTCTGTAGGGAGAGTGTTCCACAGCCGGGGGGCCACCACTGAGAAGGCCCTCTCTCTCGTCCCCGCCAGGCGTGCCTGCGAGGCAGGCGGGATCGAGAGAAGGGCCTCCCCAGACGATCTCAAGGTCCTCGTGGGCTCATAGGCCAAGATGCGGTCAGAAAGGTATTTTGGGCCGGAACCGTTTAGGGCTTTGTAGGCCAAAACCAGCACCTTGAATTGGCTCCGGTAGCAAATCGGCAGCCAATGGAGCTGGGACAACAAGGGCGTTGTGTGCTCCCTGTATCCCGCTCCCGTTAGTAACATGGCTGCCGCACGCTGAACCAGCTGAAGCTTCCGGGACGTTTTCAAGGGCAGCCCCACGTTGTTCACCACTCTGCTGGGTAAGAGAGCAAGAGAGAATGTTTTGGAGAAGAGCCCGACTTTGGAGATTGTTGCAATGAATTTGAGTGTTGACCATGAGAACAAGCCCTATGAGGAGAGGCTTAAGGAGCTGGGCATGTTTAGCCTGAAGAAGAGAAGGCTGAGAGGAGATATGATAGCCATGTATAAATATGTGAGAGGAAGCCACAGGGAGGAGGAGGGAGCAAGCGTGTTTTCTGCTTCCTTGGAGACTAGGACACAATGGAACAATGGCTTCAAACTACAAGAGAGGAGATTCCATCTGAACATGAGCTGCAAAGGTCAACAGCAAGCTAGACTATTAATGGTCAGGAGCTCACTCCAACCTGGGCTGGTTTTGAACTCATCATCACTTGGTCAGTAGTGATTTAATGCAGCTGGCTACTTACTAGCTGCGCCACAACCTGGTCCTGTTTTAATGTTTATACACATATAAACATTAAAACAGAATTAAATATCCTTGGTATTTTAAAAATTCAGTTAAAACACATAAAACACATTGAAGAATGAACTCAGAGGGTCTCCTCTAATGGAGACTTGGATTTTCCTCCTGAAATTAGTGACATCCTTGACGCACCTCCATAAGAACTGTGGGCCTGAAATGCTCCCAATGGGGAAACGGGAACATCCTATGGAAACTAATCTCTTTTGCCTTCATCCCTGTGTTCAGTTCCAGAGAACGAAGCTCCCATTGACACAAATCTCATAGAGCTTGACACAAAGTAAGCGCAACTGGGATGTTTGTGGAGGGCGGGAGGGTTTGCATGGGGACGCCACATCATTTGCGCATGGCTCCGCCTTCCGATGCTCCATTCCTCCTCCACATGTCATTCACTAACCAACTAATCCCTCATTAATCCGTCATCGGCTGTTCCATCTTCCATTGTGGAAATCCACAATCCATGGGTCTCTAACACTTTGGCGTCTAACTCCGCACGTTTCTTCTCTCCCCTCTCCTCTGTTTGCATGGTCACATCTCCTTGTTATGCATGCGCACCGTGAAGCAGGAAAAAGACAGTAAGAGCCCTTCTTCTCTATGGATGGTTGTCTTGTGTGTGTGCATGTCTTGTTGTTGTGCATAAGGTTGCCTTTGTGTCCTGTCTTTCTTCCAATGGCCTCAAAGGGGCGCAACTGAGTCACAGCTTATGCTCCCAACAGCCCTGTAAGGTAGGACGGACCAAGAACATCGAGGGGTTAAGGCCACCCAGAGAGTTGAGACTAGATCGTCCAAGTTTGATGGTAGATCCGCTCTGGGTTTTAGTCTGAGGTTGAAAGGTGCAACACTGGAAATGTAGCATCAAACCCATTCACAGTCTGTTGCTATTGCATCAATAGGAAAGTAGATCCGCTCTGAGTTTTAGTCCGAAGTTGAGAGCTCCAACACTGGAAATATAGCATCAAACCCATTCATAGTCTGTTGCTATTGCATCAATGGGAAAGTAGATCCGCTCTGGGTTTTAGTCCGAAGTTGAGAGCTCCAACACTGGAAATGCAGCATCATACCTATTTACAGTCAGTGATTATTGCACAAGATCTGCTTTGGGTTTTAATCCGAAGTTGAGAGGTCCAATACTGGAAACTCAGCATCATACCCATTCACAGTCAATGGCTATTGTACCAGTGGGAAAGTAGATCCGCTCTGAGTTTTAGTCCGAAGTTGAGAGCTCCAACACTGGAAATGCAGCATCATATCCATTTACAGTCAGTGACTATTGCACAAGATCTGCTTTGGGTTTTAATCCAAAGTTGAGAGGTCCAATACTGGAAACTCACCATCATACCCATTGACAGTCAATGGCTATTGCATCAATAGAAAAGTAGATCTGCTCTGGGTTTTAGTCCAAAGTTGAGAGGAATTCCACCTGGGACTCTCCATGTTCCTCCAGCGCATTGCTAGGGTCAGCTTGCACCTCTAGGTCTTCTGGCAGATGTTTGCACTGGACAATCCAGAGATTCATTGAGAGTAGTTCCACCTGGGAATCTCCAGGGTCCTCCAGTACATTGCTAGGGTGAGCTTGCACCTTTAGGTCTTCTGGCAGATCTTTCCACCAGAGGAAGGAGGGATTCCTTGAGAGGAGTTTCACCTGGGAATCTCCAGGTTCTTCCAGCACATTGCTAAGGTCAGCTTACACCTCTAGGTCTTCTGGCAGATCTTTGCACTGGACAATCTAGGGAGTCATTGAGAGGAGTTCCACCTGGGAATCTCCAGCTTCCTCCAACACATTGGTAGGTCAGCTTGCACCTCTAGGTCTTCCAGCAGATCTTTGCACCGGAGGAACTAGGGATTCCTTGAGATAAGTTCAACCTGGGAATCTCCTGGTTCCTCCAGCACATTGCTAGAGTCAGCTTGCACCTCTAGGTCTCACAGCAGATTTTTGCACTGGAAGAAGAAGGGATTCATTGAGAGGAGTTCCACCTGGGAATCTCCAGGTTCCTCCAGGACATTGCTAGGGTCAGCTTGCACCTCTAGGTCTTCTGGCAGATATTTGCACCAGAGGAAGTAGGGATTCATTGAGAGGAATTCCACCTGGCAATCTCCAGCTTCCTCCATCACATTGTTAGGGTCAACTTGCACATCTAGGTCTTCCAGCAGATCTTTCCACCAGAGGAGGTAGGGATTCCACCTGGGAATCTCCAGGTTCCTCCAGCACATTGCTAGGGTCAGCTTGCACCTCTAGGTCTTCTGGCAGATCTTTGCACTGGACAAGCTAGGGATTCCTTGAGAGGAGTTCCACCTGGGAATCTCCAGGTTCCTCCAGAGCATTGTTGTGGTCAGCTTGCACCTCTAGGTCTTCCGGCAGATCTTTCCACCGGAGGAAGTAGAGATTCATTGAGAGGAGTTCAACCTGGGAATCTCCAGGTTCCTCCAGGAAATTGCTAGGATCAGCTTGCACCTCTAGATCTTCCGGCAGATCTTTGCACTGCACAGTCTAGGGATTCCTTGAGAGGAGTTCCACCTGGGAATCTCCAGGTTCCTCCAGGACATTGCTAGGATCAGCTTGCACCTCTAGATCTTCCGGCACTGGACAGTCTAGGGATTCATTGAGGAGTTCCACCTGGGAATCTCCAGGTTCCTCCAGCACATTACTAGGGTCAACTTGCAGAGAACATGGACCGGCATCTTCTCCCAGGTCATCTTCTCTTTCTCATTTACATACCTTTCCATCTCCCTTTCTTCTTAGTGACGATGACATCGTCTTCGAGGACTTTGCGCGGCAGCGGCTGAAGGGCATGAAGGACGAGAAGGAAGAGGAGGAAGACGGGACTGACTCCCCGCAGCTCAACGACAGATAAGCTGGAGAGCTTCTTCCCATCGCTCTCCCTCTCTTTGGGTCCATCTAGACCAGGCCTGAGCCAACTTGGGCCCTCTAGGTGTTTTGGACTTCAATTCCCACCATTCCTAACAGCCGGTAGGCTGTTAGGAATGGTGGGAGTTGAAGTCCAAAACACCTGGAGGGCCCAAGTTGGCCCAAGCCTGGTGTAGACACACTTTTTCTCTTTCTCTCTCTCTTTTTGTTCCAGTCTCAAAACAACATTCAGCTTGGTTCCTCCTCTTTTTTGTATGTGTTTACAAGGGGGAGGGGTTGCTCAGGGTGCAAATTTTGGCACCGCTTTAACTCCCGTGGTTCAATGCTATGGAGTCCTGGGAGTTGTAGTTTTACAAGGTCCTTTTGGCCTTCTCTGTTAAAGACTTCGATAGTGACCCATCAAATGATTGTACTCCCAGTGTTCCATAGCATCGAGTTATAGCAGTTCAAAAGCTACCAAACTGCATTAATTCTTCAGTATAGACTGACTTGTCCTTAGACATGTCCACACACATTTGTGTGTGTGTTTTATGTGTGTTGTTGAGATGTGTAGAACAACACATGATGCGGAAGGTGCCCTGCTTTCCACTTTGGCATGAAAAAGCAGTATCAATGTGTTGTTGAAGGCTTTCATGCCTGGAATCACTGGGAGTTTTCTGGGCTGTATGGCCATGTCCCAGAAGCATTCTCTCCTGGCATTTCACCCACATCTATGGCAGGTATCCTCAGAGGTTGTGAGGTCTGTTGGAAACTTAGCATGGGAGGTTTATGTATTTGTGGAATGATGTCCAGGGTGGGAGAAAGAACTCTTGTCTGTTGGAGGCAAGTGTGAATGTTGTAATTAATCACCATGATTAGCATTGCAAAGCCTTGCAGCTTCAAGGCCTGGCTGATTCCATAATTAATTGCAACATTCACACTTAACCACCTAATAATGTTTTCATAATGAGGCAGGAAGTATGGCTCTCTTAACTCTATAGGTTTGATAGACTACAGGAGCTACATACAGGGAGCATACCCCTGCTATGTCAGCTCCACTGGCTGCCTATCCACTTCCGAGCTCAATTCAAAGTGCTGGTTTTGACCTATAAAGCTCTATACAGTTCTGGCCCAGCTTCCTTGTCTGAACGCATCTGCCTCTACTTAAGATCATCCGGGGAGGCCCTGCTCTCGCTCCCACCAACATCGCAAATGCGGCTGGTGGGGATGAGAGACAGGGTCTCCTTGGTGGTGGCCCCTCGCCTGTGGAACATGCTTCTGAGCAAGATACAATCAACCCCATCCCTCCTGGGTTTCAGGAAGAAAGTAAAATCATGGCTATGGGACCAGGCTTTCGGTCAGCAGACATAAATCAGCACTTTAGTGGAAATGGATTGGAAAGGCGATTTACATGAGGATACGATTCTATTTGGTAACAAATGTTTTTATATTGTTTAATTAATGGCTTTTGCATTTATGTATTTTAATGTTTTAATGGTTGTTTGTATGAATTGTAACAACATCGAATGGCTGCTATTGTAAGCCGTCCTGAAGAGACGGGATATAAATACCAGAAATAAATAAATAAATACTGGATTCTGACCTGCAAACTGTGTATATAAAGGGTTGCTGTAAGTTTTTCGGGCTGTATGACCATGTTCCAGAAGCATTCTCTCCTAACGTTTCACCTGCATCTATGGCAGTTCTCCTCAGAGCTTATGAGGTCTGTTGGAAACCTCACAACCTCTGAGGATGCCTGCATAGGTGTGGGCAAAACACCAGGAGAGAATGCTTCTGGAACGTGGGCAGACAGCCTAGAAAGCTCACTGCAGCTCACTGTGAGAAAGCTCACTGGAAATTGGGGGAAATTTGACCTTGGGAGCTGCTTGAATGTTCAGCTCACCTGGAACTGAACTGGGCTCACCCCTTCCTTCCTTCCTTCCTTCCTTCCTTCCTTCCTTCCTTCCTTCCTTCCTTCCTTCCTTCCTTCCTTCCTTCCTTTCGTCCCCAGCACATTCTGCTCTATTAGGGGCGGGGCTTACTGGAGCCCCTTGATGGCGGCACCCAAGGGGAGAGCTGAAGACGGAGGAAGAAGGGAAGGAGGAATCATAGAATCATAGCCAAGATGATGTTGTTGACCACGGACAAAAAAAGTAACCCAGTTCTGGAAACAGCCAGGCCTTGAAGCTGCAAGGCTTTGCAATGTTGTGGACCATGGACAAAAAGTAACCCAGCTCTGAAAACATCCAGACCTTGAAGCTGCAAGGCTTTGCAATGATAATCAAGATGATTAATTACAACATTCACACTTGCCTCCAACAGACAAGAGTTCTTTCTTCCACCCTGGACATCGTTCCACAGATACATAAACCTCCCTTGCTTAGTTTCCAACAGGCCTCACAACCTCTGAGGATGCCTGCCATAGGTGTGGGCGAAACGTCAGGAGAGAATGCTTCTGGAACATGGCCAGACAGAGCAGAAAACTCACAGTAACCCAGTTTGAGTAAGCCGAAGTCACTGCTTCTTCATAGGTGACACTATGTAAACAAATTCGAAACATTTCCTGTTCCTGGTTTGAAAGTGTTATTTCCTGTTTAATTGTGTGGCGCTTACTTTTGAAACTTTGTTTCTGTGCCACAAAATATGGTGAATGGGTTGAGACTCGATGATGAGATGGATATTCCTTGCAAAACTTGAGCAAAAAGTGCTGCAGGATGATGTCCCTCCCCAAAAAAACAAAGTTTTGGCAGTTTCATAAACTTTTTCCTATGTTTTGATGATAGAACTATTTAGGAAATGGCATTTATAACCCAGGAACAAAGATTATGTTATATAGTATTGTTGAGTTGTAAGGGATTCCCAAAAGGGCATCCAATCCAACCCCTTTCTTCCAGGCAGGAAGACACCATCCAAACCCTCCCGACAGATGGCCATCCAGCCTCATAAAGGCCTCTTTTAGTGGGGGCTGTTTGGCTCACGAGGTTGTTTTTGGAGGAATCCCATTAGGAGACATTATTATTTTGGTGTTATTAAATTGGAAGGGATTCCCAAAAGGGCATCCAATCCAACCCCCTTCTTCCAGGCAGGAAGACACCATCCAAACCCTCCCRACAGATGGCCATCCAGCCTCATAAAGGCCTCTTTTAGTGGGGGCTGCGTGGCTCACGAGGTTGTTTTTGGAGGAATCCCATTAGGAGACATTATTATTTTGGTGTTATTAAATTGGAAGGGAATCCCAAAAGGGCATCCAATCCAACCCCCTTCTTCCAGGCAGGAAGACACCATCCAAACCCTCCCGACAGATGGCCATCCAGCCTCACAAAGGCCTCTTTTAGTGGGGGCTGCGTGGCTCACGAGGTAGTTTTTGGAGAAATCCCATTAGGAGACATTATTATTTTGGTGTTATTAAATCGGAAGGGATTCCCAAAAGGGCATCCAATCCAACCCCCTTCTTCCAGGCAGGAAGACACCATCCAAACCCTCCCGACAGATGGCCATCCAGCCTCACAAAGGCCTTTTTTAGTTGGGGCTGCGTGGCTCACGAGGTAGTTTTTGGAGGAATCCCATTAGGAGACATTATTTTGGTGTCGCAATGTCTCCTGGTGTATTATTTTGGTTAAGCATTTTGGAGATGGATTGGGAACGAGAGAGAGAGAGAGAGAGAGAGAGAGAGAAACAGGGTGCATCTACACTGTGGAACGGATGCATTTTGACGCCACTTTATTTGCCACGGCTTAACGGAATCGTGGGAGTTGCAGTTTTGCAAAGCATTTAATCCTCCCGGTGCCTATTCCCCAAACTGCAACTCCCAGGGTGACGTAGCATTGAAACGTGGCCGTCAAAACTGGTGCCAAACCGCATCAATTCCGCAGTGTAGATGCTCCAAAAGAGAGGTTGCTCCCCAGCCAACCAAGCCAGGCAGCGTGTTCTCTTTTTGTAAACGTGGTTCCTTTGTACTGTTCCTTGAGAAAACCTTGGCTTCCCCCACTCTGTGACGTTTTCTGTGTTTTTTGTCAGATAAATTATTCTAGTTTATTAATCCAACGGATGATGATGATAATAATAATAATGATAATGATAATAAAAAAGGAAAACCAAAACTCAGAGAGTGTGACTTTATTGGGAGTAAGAAATTTTTGCATGACTTCCTGGTATGCTGCTAGGAATTGTGGGAGTTGAAGTCCAAAACATCTGGAGGGCCCAAGTACACATGCTATGAGGGTTGAATGAAAAGTAATGCCTCCACCTTCGTAACTCCTCAAGAGATGGCAGTACTGGTATGCGGCAGGTACTGGCTTGTTCACTGTTGATATGAGTACTGTGCATCATTGGGAAAGTTTTAGGCGTCAGCTTACTGGGTACCCATTGTGCACAGATCTTCCGATAGCCAAGCAAAGCAATCATGTGACCCACACGTTGTTGTGAAATGCCGATTATGCTTGAAATTTGTCTCTGAGTGATACGATGATCATCCTGAATCAATCTGTCAACCTTTTGCTTGTGAAACTCGGTGGTTGCTGTCACAGGACATCCAACGCTTTATTTTTCACGCAAGTCAGATGCTCCCACCTCAATGTCTTTAAACTTACTCGCCCAATGACACACTGTACTCACATCAACACAATCCCCATAAACAGCTTGCATTCTCTGATGAATCTCCTTTGGGGTGACACCTTCTGCTGTCAAGAAGTCAATGACCGCACATTGCTCAAGTCACATTGATGGACCATCTGCGCAGGGTTCCATACTTCACACTTTAACAACACAACCTATGATTGCTAAGGCTTCCCACCAAAATGGAATTGCAGAGGAGAGTCTACTGAACAAGCCAGTACTGCCATCTGTTGAGGAGTTACAAAGGTGGAGGCATTACTTTGCACTTTAACAACACAACCATTCAATGCTAAGGCTTCCCGCCAAAATGGAACTGTAGAGGAGAGCGTACTGAACAAGCCAGTACCTGTCGCATACCAGTACTGCTGTCTGTTCAGGAGTTATGAAGGTGGAGGCATTACTTTTCATTCAACCCTCATAGTAATGATATAACCTTGCAAGGCAATGTCCGCAAAGTGGAGAGCCACAACCGCTAAGTCCCCACGGGAGGGTCTGCCCAGTCCCATGCATGGAGTGACCCATCGCTGGCGGCCGAGAGCAAAGTCCGGGGCCTGGAGGGGTGCCAGGAGTGGGATGTCACCCAAAGTGGCGTCTCCGTGTTGTGGGTGCCACTCAAGAGGTGCCCTTTGTGGAGGAACAGCGGCTTGGCTTCCTCCGGCATCGAAGGGTCCCAGTGGCGCGTGTCGTAGATGCGAACGGTGCCGTCGAAGCCTTTAGGAGAGGAGGAAAGAGAAGTCAGGACAATTCATACTTTCTCCAGGTAAAGAAGGTAATAATAATCTATATAAATAAAAATGTAATGTTCGTTTGTGATACCATCAGAACTCAAAAACCACTGGGGGAATTGACACCAAATTTGGACACAAGACACCTAACAACCCAATGTATGTTCTCCACTCAACCCCCCCCAAAAAAAACACTTCCCCTCCCTCCCCCACCCCCCTTAGAAAGACGTTCAACTGTAAGCCTCAGGGAGGGAGAGGGAGGGAAGGAGTGCACGTGCATGGCCAGCAGCGAGTGCGCATGCCCAGCAGGCTCCCATGGAGGCCCTCCCTTCAGGAGCTGGAGGAAAAGCCCTCATCCCCACAGGCCTGCTACCCTGTCACTATCCTTTACATCAGGGGTCCTCAAACTATGGGGTGTGGAGAAGGGTGAGTCCCCCCCCCCCCACCAAGAAGTGGTGCTTCCCCAGGCAGCAGCACTCCGACAGGTGCAGAGGAGACCGGGCTCCCTCCTCCTCTTCTTCCAAGGAGTAAACTTGCAACTGAGGGAAAGGAGGGATGGGAATTCTAAAATAATGCCAGTTATAATGGAGGGGAAATTTCCTAAAAATCTGAAAAATGTGATGGATAAGGAGTTGAAAAACAAGAAACTAGATAAAATTGGAAGTTGGATGGAACAAATAAAGGAGAAGAGCACTATTAAGGAAATCCTAGGTGAATTAAATATATCATGGCTCCATTGGGTCCAACTAGACCAATGGTTCAAAAAGTGGAAAGGAAAGAGCCTAAGGGAAAGAGAATCAACGAAATTTGAAAATATAATATTAAAAGAGCTGGCTAAAGAAGAAAATGAGCATCAAAAAGGGATAACAAGTATTATATTTAAACTGGCTCCCCTCCTTCCTTCACAACCGTGGACAGCGAGTGGAGAGGGGAGGCCTGGTCTCTGAGAGGTCCCCCCTCTCTCTCTTGTGGGGTTCCTCAGGGGGGCGTTCTCTCCCCTCTGTTGTTTAACATCTATATGCAACCACTTGCTCAGCTGGTTCGAGGTTTTGGGCTTGAGTGTTATCAGTATGCCGATGACACTCAACTGGTGCTGAAGATGGAAGGCCGACCAGACTCTGTACCCGATTGTTTCCATCAGTGCCTCGAGGCCGTGACTGGATGGCTGCGTGCCAGCAGGTTGAGGGTGAATCCAGCAAAGACGGAGATCCTATGGCTGGGTGGACCGGTCAGTGGGGACATCCATCTGCCCACCCTGGATGGTGAGGCGTTACGCCCGTCCTCGTTGGTCAAGAGTCTGGGAGTCCTTTTGGACCCTCTGCTGACAATGGAGGCCCAGGTCTCCGCCGTGAGCAAAACCGCCTTCTTTCACCTGCGGCAGGCTAGATGGCTGTCCCCCTCCCTGTCCAGGGACGACCTAGCTATGGTGATCCAGGCCACAGTCATCTCAAGACTGGACTACTGTAACGCCCTCTACATTGGCCTCCCTCTGTCGGTGATTCGGAAGCTTAAGTTGGTACAAAATGCAGCTGCTCGGCTTCTTGCGGGAATTCCGATGAGATGCCACATAACACCAATCTTACTACAGCTGCATTGGTTACCCATTGAGCACCAGATCACTTTCAAAGTGATGGTACTCACCTTTAAGGCCTTGCATGGTCTGGGGCCAATGTATCTGAGGGATCGTCTCACCCCCTCCCAACCCCAGAGATCCCTCCGTTCTAAGGACCAAGATCTATTGGAGGTCCCCAGTGTCAAGACCTTGCGTCTAACAGCAACCAGACGCAGAGCCTTCACAGCAGTGGCGCCATCAGTCTGGAATACTCTGCCACCTGAAGTTTGTGCCCTGCGGGACTTACCCGCTTTCCGCAGGGCATGTAAGACATACCTGTTTCGACAGGCTTTTAATGTTTGATACTGTTGTTTTTAAATTGTTTTAAATTGCTTTTAAACTTTGTTAGATTTTAGCCATTCTTGTAAGCCGCTCCGAGCCCCAGGGGAGTGGCCGCATATAAGTTTGAATAATAAATAAATAAATAAATATTCAAAATATTAATAGAGATTAAAGGGGAGAGAAAAGGGATACAAACAAGGGAACTATGGGAAGAAGAACTGGGAATAAAAATAGGAGAAAGGAATTGGGAAAAATTATGGAGAGCAAGACACCTCAAGAATTTATCAATTAGGATAAAAGAAAACTACTATAAGATGGTATGGAAATGGTACCTGACCCCAACAAAGATCCATAATATGGATAAGAGTTGTTCAGAAAAATGTTGGAGGGGTTGCCAAGAAAGGGGCACGTATATCCACATGTGGTGGCAATGCAAATATGTAGAGAGTTTCTGGGGGAAAGTTATAGTAGAAATAGAAAGTATTATGAAGAAAAAAATTAATAGAAATCCAGCAACTATATTATTATCTATTTACAATACAGATGAATGGAAGGAAAATGAAAAGAATCTGATAACAATGTTGTTAACGGCCGCAAGGCTACTAATAGCAAAATATTGGAAAGGAGAGGTGGAAATTGAGATAGAAGAATGGTACAAGGAAATTTGGAAATTAGGAATAAATGGCAAATTAACATGCAATTTAAAGGTTAAAAAAGGCCTAAGGAAGGATAATGATTTTGAAAGTATATGGAAAATACTAGGTTCTTGTGGGTTTTTTCGGGCTATAGAGCCATGTTCTAGAGGCATTTCTCCTGACGTTTCGCCTGCATCTATGGCAAGCATGCTGAGGATGCTTGCCATAGATGCAGGCGAAACGTCAGGAGAAATGCCTCTAGAACATGGCTCTATAGCCCGAAAAAACCCACAAGAACCTAGTGATTCCAGCCATGAAAGCCTTCGACAATATATGGAAAATATTTATTGAGGAAACATTAAGGAAAGAAGACGGGAACCAACTCCCACCAGAAGAAATGAGGTTCTGGTGGGAGTATAAAGAAAAGAAGAACTCCGGAGATGAGGAACACAAGGGGGAGCACAACTGGGGAAAGGGAAAAAAAGTAATTACATGAATTATAGAGATTGTTTTTGTAATGAAAGGAATATAAATGCAATAAAAAAATTATTAGATGTTTAGAAAAAAAAGAGGAGAACAAATCGAATTGCTGTAAAGAATCTGGCTTAAAGAAAAGAACAAAGTAGTTTTTGTTAAGACTTATACATCTTTATTTCCTAATTTTCTTTCACTATATTGTTCCACCTCTTTTTATGTATATAGCATTTATTTTGTGGTTAATAAAATTAATTATGAAAAAAAAAGGAGTTGAGGGGAAAGAACAAATTAAAAGAGGTAAACAACACTTTAGATTTACTTTCATAGAATCATAGAATCCAAGAGTTGGAAGAGACCTCATGGGCCATCCAGTCCAACCCCATTCTGCCAAGAAGCAGGAATATTGCATTCAAATCACCCCTGACAAATGGCCATCCAGCCTCTGCTTAAAAGCTTCCAAAGAAGGAGCCTCCACACACTCCGGGGCAGAGAGTTCCACTGCTGAACGGCTCTCACAGTCAGGAAGTTCTTCCTCATGTTCAGATGGAATCTCCTTTCTTGTAGTTTGAAGCCATTGTTCTGCATCCTAGTCTCCAGGAAGCAGAAAACAAGCTTGCTCCCTCCTCCCTGTGACTTCCTCTCACATATTTATACATGGCTATCATATCTCCTCCCAGCCTTCTCTTCTTCAGGCTAAACATGCCAGCTCCTTAAGCCGCTCCTCATAGGGCTTGTTCTCCAGACCCTTGATCATTTTAGTCACCCTCCTCTGGACACATTCCAGCTTGTCAATATCTCTTGAATTGTGGTGTCCAGAACTGGACACAATATTCCAGGTGTGGTCTAACCAAAGCGGAATAGAGCATGGGGAGCATGACTTCCCTAGATCTAGACACTATGCTCCTATTGATGCAGGCCAAAATCCCATTGGCTTTTTTTGCCGCCACATCACATTGTTGGCTCATGTTTAACTTGTTGTCCACGAGGACTCCAAGATCTTTTTCACACGTACTGCTCTCGAGCCAGGCGTCCCCCATTCTGTATCTTTGCATTTCATTTTTTCTGCCAAAGTGGAGTATCTTGCATTTGTCCCTGTTGAACTTCATTTTGTTAGTTTTGGCCCATCTCTCTAATCTGTCAAAATCGTTTTGAATTCTGCTCCTGTCCTCTGGACTATTGGCTATCCCTCCCAATTTGGTGTCGTCTGCAAACTTGATGTGCCTTCACTCTGCAGCAATGCCCTTCTTTTTTGGATTCTCCATGCTCCAACATATCGGAGGAAGCAGCAGCAGCAAAAGAGGCAGAGAGAGAGGGGGGGAGAAGCAGAGGAGCAGCAGGAAGAGAGACGGACTCTCCTCTCTGTCTGTCTGTCTGTCTGTCTGTCTGTCTCCCTGCAGCATCCACTGGATTCCTGGCTATGGCTCTGCAGGCTTCCAGCCCCATGCTAACTTTAAGTTTGTGTCACATGGCTCCTGGGGGGGGGGGGGAGCTAAGGATTACCCCGCCCACCACTCTCCAGGGCCAGCAAGAGTGACCAAAAGCTTTATTTACTGCAGAGGAGGCTCCTGTTGGGGGCTGAGGCCTGCAAGAGGAGAAGTTTTGTGGGCAAAGATTCTTGGAATTGCTGGGTGCCTCTGAGCATGTGCAGAGTGATTCCTTGAGCTTTCCAAAGGTGATGGATTGCAACTCCTTTCTATATATATAATACTTTATATATTACTATATATAAAGGAGGGAGCAAGCTTGTTTTCTGCTTCCTTGGAGACTAGGTCGCGGAACAATGGCTTCAAACTACAAGAGAGGAGATTCCATCTGAACATGAGGAAGAACTTCCTGACTGTGAGAGCCGTTCAGCAGTGGAACTCTCTGCCCCGGAGTGTGGTGGAGGCTCCTTCTTTGGAAGCTTTTAAGCAGAGGCTGGATGGCCATCTGTCAGGGGTGATTTGAATGCAATATTCCTGCTTCTTGGCAGATGGGGTTGGACTGGATGATGGCCCAGGAGGTCTCTTCCAACTCCAGGATTCTATGATTCTATATACTGCTGTATAATACAAATATATTATGTATTTTATTGTTATATATACTACTATATAATATAATGTTACTACTATATATTACTATATTAAATAGACTCATAGACTAGAGTTAGAAGGGACTCTACCATGGTATTAGGGGAGAACAGAAAGGAAGGAAGGAAAGAAGAAAGGAGGGAGGGAAAAAGGGAAGGAATGAAGGAAGGAAAGAGAAAAGGAGGGAAGGAAAGAAGGAAGGAGGGAAGGAAGGAGAGGAGGAAGGAAAGAAAGAAGTACCAAAGGAAGGAAGAGGAAAAGTAAAAAGGAAAGAAAAAGGGAGGGAAATGCAGGAAAGAAGTAAAGAAGAAAGGAGAAAAGGTGAAAGAAGGAGGAAACAGGGAGGGAAGAAAGAAGAAAAAGGAAGAAGAAGAGAAAGGGGGAGAAAAGGAAGAAAAGAGAGAAGGAAGGATGAAATCAAAGAGCAAAGAAGGAATGAAAGAAAGAGGTAGAGAAGGAAGAAAGGAGAGAAAGGGGAAGAAAAAGGGGGGAAGGAATAGGTAGGTACCTCTCTTTCATAATAGTCCAGATATCTACCTCTACTTCAAAAATTCTTACTATAGACCACAGCAACGCGTGGCAGGGCACAGCTAGTAGTAGTAGTAGTAGTAGTAATAATAATAGTAATAATAATAATAATAATAATAATGTTTATTTATATTCCGCTCTATCTCCCAAAAGGGCCTCAGGGCGGAATCCAAACATAAAAGGCAAACATTCAACGCCTGAATACTGTGTGTTTCTGGTGGTCTTTGGTGACTCTTCTGACACCCCCTCACGACCCCACCGGGGTCCCAACCCCCAGGTGAAGAAGTGCTGCCTGAAGGCCATTCAGTCCACCTCTCTTCACAGGGCAAGAAAACATAATCAAAGCCCTCCTGACAAAGAGCCATCCAGCCATAGATATAGATGATATATATGATTCACACACATATATGACAGATATAGTATCATAGATTTGAAAGGGACCCCTAAAGAAGGACAATTATATGTTGCATGTTCCAGAGTAGGCAAACCAGACACTCTCCACATCAACACTGACAAAGAAACAGCAAGAAATACTGTTTACCCACAAGCAGAAAGACATTACATAGATTAGAAACCACACTTTCTCATTACTTTATTTTCCAGATCACCAGACTGGGCCACAGTAATGCGTAGCAGGGGACAGCTAATAATAATAATAATAATAATAATATTCATCCTTGAAAGAAGTGACGAGTGGAGTGCCACAGGGTTCTGTCCTGGGCCCGGTCCTGTTCCACATCTTTATTAACGACTTAGACGAAGGGTCAGAAGGCAGGATCATCAAGTTTGCAGACGGGACCAAATTGGGAGGGAGAGCCAAGACTCCAGAGGACAGGAGCAGGATTCAAAACGATCTCGACAGATTAGAGAGATGATGGGCCAAAACTAACAAAATGAAGTTCAACAGTGACAAATGCAAGATACTCCACTTTGGCAGGAAAACGAAATGCAAAGATACAGAATGGGGGACAATGCCTGGCTCGAGAGCAGTACGTGTGAAAAAGATCTTGGAGTCCTCGTGGACAACAAGTTAAACATGAGCCAACAATGTGATGTGGCGGCAAAAAAAGCCAATGGGATTTTGGCCTGCATCAAGAGGAGCATAGTGTCTAGATCTAGGGAAGTAATGCTACCCCTCTATTCTGTTTTGGTTAGACCACACCTGGAATATTGTGTCCAATTCTGGGCACCACAATTCAAGAGAGATATTGACAAGCTGGAATGTGTCCAGAGGAGAGCAACTAAAATGATAAAAGGTCTGGAGAACAAGCCCTATGAGGAGCGGCTTAAGGAGCTGGGCATGTTTAGCCTGAAGAAGAGAAGGCTGAGAGGGGATATGATAGCCATGTATAAATATGTGAGAGGAAGCCACAGGGAGGAGGGAGCAAGCTTGTTTTCTGCTTCCTTGGAGACTAGGACGCGGAACAATGGCTTCAAACTACAAGAGAGGAGATTCCATCTGAACATTAGGAAGAACTTCCTGACTGTGAGAGCCGTTCAGCAGTGGAACTCTCTGCCCCGGAGTGTGGTGGAGGCTCCTTCTTTGGAAGCTTTTAAGCAGAGGCTGGAAGGCCATCTGTCAGGGGTGATTTGAATGCAATATTCCTGCTTCTTGGCAGAATGGGGTTGGACTGGATGGCCCATGAGGTCTCTTCCAACTCTTTGATTCTAGGATTCTAGGATTCTAATAATAATAATAATAATAACAACAACAACTCTGCAAGTGAAACAAAGGGTAGAAGAATGTAGCCAATGCCTTAGGTCCCTTGCAATAAACACAGCACATGGTGGGCATCGCCAAAGGCTTACCTGAGACAGAGATACATCCCCTGAGGAGTGGCGCAAAGGAGACAGAGAGGAAATCTGCGCCATGGAGGACGGGTGTGGGTTGGCAACACTGAGCTGTGGCCAGGGCGTTGGCTGTGTCTCTGAGGTCCGTCAAAACCACACGGCCGGAAGAGGAGAGACGGGCGATCAGGGGGTCATCCGTGGCCGAAGCGTCTGCCTGGCTCTTCCGGACGGCTGCGCACCAGCTCTGCTCTCCCGGTGCCGATGTTTCTGGCCGTTGCCCGACTTCAGCCAGGAGATTCGAGGCTTGCCGGGTGTCCGCACGGAAGAGCTGCCCCTTTGTGCTGCAGGCCAGAGCCGTGGCTTCGTCCAGGAAAGCCAGGGTCGAGATCCCTTCGCTGCTTGTGGAGGCTGGAGAGGGAAGAGGAGGGAGGCACCCACACTGTGGAATTAATGCATCTCAACACCATGGGGACACTGGGAGTTATAGTTTGGTGAGGCATCGGCACTCTTGGGCTATAGACTTTGCGAAACTGCAGTTCCCACCTTCCAGCCCTAAAATATAGGGCATCCTATACCTTTATTATTATTTATTTACAGTATTTATATTCCGTCCTTCTCACCCCGCAGTGGACTCAGGGCGGATTACAATGCAATATACATAGCAAACATTCAATGCCATTTAGATATTCAACATATACAGACAGACACAGAGGCAATTAAACATTCCAGCATTTCCGGCTTCATGAGGGTATACTCGCTTCCGGCCACAGGGGGAGCTGCTGCTTCACCGTCCATTTGTGACACTGAGTCCTCGATGGAGTACTTCCTCATTCTTCTGCACGCTGCTGGAAGGTTTTATGGCATCTATTGGGGTTCAGCCTGTGTGTGAACTTGAACCTGACTCTCTGATTGTATTTCCTGATGCCCATGTAGATGTCAATGTGAATTCTGAGGCCAATTTAGATGATGATGGTTTGAGTAGTGAAAATCCCACAGCCTTGGAAAGCGAAAGTCAAGATTCCCATGAGAACATACATTCCGAGCCAAGCGGAGACGGTTCACTCCCTTTTCCTCCCAGTTTTAGCTCTCCAGAGAATCAGACACCTGGACTGCCTAATGAGGATAGGCGGGGGCAGATTTGGCAGAGTTGGGGAGAAGCCCAATGTTTACGCAGGTCAGCCAGATTGAAAGAAATCCAAACAAAATCTTCAGACGTGTCTCGCAACAGATTTCTTGGCCTTAAATATGACTGTTCTGAATACAACTTCAGACCAGGCATCATTCCAGATCCATGTGCCAGCTTTTGCAGGTCTCCTGATTCAGGTAGCCTTGTTCCTCAGAGGTTTTCTAGTTGCCCTAAGTACGGTTAGTGATTTGCTAACAGGTTCCAGGATTCAGCAGTTTAGCTGTGGGTTTCATGATCTTGTTTATGGACATTTCTTGTTGCTGATTTTTACTGTGGCTTTTTACCTTTGCATTTTTCCACTATTTTGTATTCATCTTTCATCAATAAAAAAGGATTGTTTTCCTGAAGCCAAGTGTGATGGATTGTTGTCTGAGGGTCCAGTTTCCTGCTCTGGGTTGCAACAGCATCATACATTACTTAAATTAGCCTCCCCGCATAAAGCAGCACCTAAATTTCCTACTTTGACAGATGCAACTGTCTTTCGGGCTGCATAGGTCGACAGCAAGCTAGACTATTAATGGTCGGGAGCTCACTCCGACCTGGGCTGGTTTCGAACTCATGATCTCTCGGTCAGTAGTGATTTAATGCAACTGGCTAGTACTAGCTGTGCCACAACCTGGTCCTGTTTTAATGTTTATAAACGTATAAACATTAAAACAGAATTAAATATCATTGGTATTTTAGTTAAAACACATAAAAACATATTCAAAACTAAAAACCACGGCAGCCCCCCTTAAAGAATTAACTCAGAGGGTCTACTCTAATGGAGACTTGGATTTTCCTATAGGGCATCCGATAAATTTATTATTACGGTATTCATTTACAGTATTTATATTCATCATCATCATCATCTTTCATTACTTATTAATCACCCTCCATCCGAGATGCTCTAGGCGATTTACAAGCTAACTTGTAAAAGATAAAAATACATACAGTATATTCTGGCGTATAAGACTACTTTTTAACCCAAGAAAATCTTCTCAAAAGTCAGGGGTCGTCTTATACGCGGGTGTAGTCTTATGCATGGGAGTCGTCTTAATTCTATATTTTAACTGGAAAAGTTGGGGGTCGTCTTATACACCCAGTCGTCTTATAAGCCGGAATATACGGTACATACAAAAATTAATAATTAACAGAGATCAAATGCCAGGTCTTAAGTGCGAGAGTAAAAGGCCCTAAGTCACACATGGCTCTCATGTAGGGCGGCAAGGAATTCCACACGGCAGGGGCAGAAAGAGAGAAAGCCCACCTGCGCCTGGTCCTTTCCAAACGCCCTTCTCTAGATGGAGTAAGTCACGTTGGGATGGTCGTTGCAGCCTCCGATGATGGGAGAAGGAGAGGCAGTCCCTAAGGTACGATGGACCCTGGCCGTAGAGAGTTTTAAAGGTCAGAACTAGCATCTTAGACAGGCCACGGTACTCAGTTGGAAGCCAATGTCAATGTTGCAGCACTGGTGTTCTGTGGTATTTCATGGGTGTTCTTGTGAGCAGCCTGGCTGCCACATTCTGAACAATACGGAGCTTTTGGGTTGTAGACATCGGAAGGCCAACTTACAGGGCGTTGCAATAGTCCAGCCTAGACGTGACCGTGGCATGGATGACTGTTGCCAGAGCCTCATCAGATAGGGAGGGTGCCAGTTGCCTCACTTGTCGTACATGGAAAAAGGCCTGTTTGCTGGCAGCAGCCACCTGAGCCTCCATCGTCAGCTGCGAATCGAAAACGACACCTAGGCTCTTAACGGTAGGCGATGGAGATAGGGCGGCACCATCGAAGGTGGGTAATGGAGGAGTCAGACCTGCCGGGCGGTCATGCCAGAGAATCTCAGTTTTCGCCGGGTTCACCTTCAGTCTGCTAGCACATAGCCAGTTCGACAGAGCCTCCAGACATAAGGTGAAATTGTCTGGTATTGACTTTGCTCCCGGCTCCAGGCGCAGAAGGAGGTGGGTATCGTCTGCATATTGGTAGCAGTCCAGGCCGAAACTCCGAGCCGAACTAGCAAGGGGTCTAACGTAGATGTTGAAGAGAAGAGGAGAGAGAATTGTACCTTGGGGGACCCCACATAGGAGGGGGGATCTATCGGAGACTTGATCCATGTACTCCACACACTGACTCCGGTTCCGGAGAAATGAGTTGAACCAATTGAGGGCCTGATCCCGGACATGGCAAGACGGTGAATCATTAGATCGTAGTCGACGGTGTCAAAAGCTGCGGTAAGGTCAAGAAGTACCAGTAGCGCGGATCCACTGTTGTCAGACTGGCGATGGAGTTCATCTGTAATGGCAACCAGGACTGTCTCCGTCCCATGGCCAGAGCGAAAATCTGACTGGAAAGGGTCCAGGCCGCCTGTGTCATCCAGGAATTGTTGCAATTGTCCCAATACAGCCCGCTCATCTTACCTAAGAATGGCAGAGTCTCACCTTGCAGTCGACTCAGGGCAGATTACAATGCACATATCCAAGGCAAACGTTCAATGCCATAGACACGCAACATATATAGAAAGGTGGACACCCTCCCAAGGAAGCCGTTACCTGCCATGAAGAGGCTCTGCTTGGATTCGATGTCCGTCACCTGGACGTTGTCCGTTCTCGTCCCATGGAGGACCCAGGAGGGTTTGCTGGAGGTGGTGGCCATCTTTGCCCAGCCGTCCTCCACTCCCGGCCTGGTAGGGATGCTGGCCAAAGGCTTCATGACATCTAAAGAAGACAAGAAGGGACAGAAAATAGACTCCAATAGGGAATGCTGCTCTTCACCTGCACTCAGGTAGCACCCACATTATTAAGGTACATGGCTAAGTTCTTGTGAAATCACTACTGTGTTGGTGTTAAGAGATAAAAAACTCACCCTGGTTAATTACAACCCACAGGCTGAGTAATTGGGGCAATTAAGGTCAACAATCCTTTTGTTTTTTTAATTTCTTTTGTAAACATTTCTTAGTGTTTCCTGCGCATTCTGCTCATTCTTACAAAAATGCATTTGTGAAATCATTGAATTCAGTAGGGAATTGCAGAAATGTGCAATTGTGAATTTATTAGTGAATTCAATAGTGATTTGCAAAAAATGGGCAATTATGAATTCATTAGTGAATTGCAAAAATGTGCAATTGTGAATTTATTATTGAATCCAGTAGTGAATTGCAAAAATTGTGTAATTGTTAATTCATTAATGAATTGCAAAAACGGGGAATTCTGAATTCATTCGTGAATTGCAAAAATGTCCAGTTGTGAATTTATTACTGAATTCAGCAGTGAATTGCAAAAATGTGCAATTGTGAATTCATTAGTGAATTGCAAAAATGGGAAATTCTGAATTCATTAGTGAATTGCAGAAATGTGCAACTGTGAATTTGTGAATTCAGTAGTGAATTGCAAAAAATGTGCAATTGTGAATTTATTAGTGAATTGCAAAAATGTGCAATTGTGAATTTAGTAGTGATTTCAGTAGTGAATTGCAAAAAATGGGCAATTGTGAATTCATTAGTAAATTGCAAAAATGTGAAATTGTGTATTACTGAATTCAGTAGTGAATTGCAAAAACTGTGCAATTGTGAATTCATTAGTGAATTGCAAAAATGTCCAATTGTGAATTTATTAGTGAATTCAGTAGTGAATTGCAAAAATGTGAAATTGTGAATTCATTATTGAATTAGCAGTAAATTGCAAAAACGTGCGATTGTGCATTCATTATTGAATTCAGTAGGGAATTGCAAAAAGATGCATTTGTGAATTCATTACTGAATTCAGCAGTAAATTACAAAAATGTGCAATCGTGAATTTATTATCAAATTCAGTAGTGAATTGCAAAAAAGTGTGATTGTGAATACACTATTCAATTCAGCAGTGAAGTGCATAAACATGCAATTGTGCATTCATTATTGAATTCAGTAGGGAATTGCAAAAAATGTGCATTTGTGAGTTTATCTATATATCCTGCATTTTATCTCTTTCATGGAACTGCTTTGTGTCTCAATCAAAGAGATAAACGTGGGATATAAACAAACAAACAAATATAATTTAACTGCGAAAATGTGTCCCTTAAGTCCTGTTGTGCAAAAACCATTTTGCTGGCTCTCTTGTGTAGTAATTCTATTTTATTCTATTTTAACTTTTGTACCCCTGACACAACTATTTCATTGTCCTATTGTGTTGTGTTATTGAATGCTGCCTTGAGTCCTTATGGGGAAAATTGGGGGGGGGGGGGGATAATAAAAACTAAACTAAATAAAAAATGTCACAGCTACCCCTGGATGAAGATGGATGTTGCAAAACGCCATTCCATTTCCTGGATAACAACAACAACAACAACAACAACAACAACAGCAGCAGCAGCAACAACAGCAACAACAACACTTTATTTCTATTCCGCCCTATCTCCCCAAGGGGACTCAGGGTGGATCACAGTACACATACACAGCAAACATTCAGTGCTGTTTTGGATAGACAGGACAGAGACAGACAGAACAGAAAGAAGGTATGTTGTGTTGACATCCAGCTTTTTTGGCACCTTGGAGGTTGTGCTTGAATCCACCCACAGGGTGGTGCTATCGCGCCATTCTCTATGACAAAGAACTATCAGGACTTCCTCCTTCCTTTTGGTTGGTTGCTTGTTTTAGCAGTACCTAATTTCTCTAATGACAGCAAAAGCTGTTTTCGAACTGCTTAGGTAAACAGCAAGCTGGGCTGACAGTCGAGAGCTCACACTGATCCAGGGCTTCGAACTGGCAATCTTTCGTTTGGTAGATTTTATCCTTGCTGGCGATTTACCAGCTGTGCTAAAGCCCAGCCCAAGAAGACCTAAGTCTACTTACAAAGGTGGAAGTCCTATACTGACCATTGTTTAGTTGTGGCGACCCAAACTAGACTTATTTAATGTGGCACCAAAGTGAAACGATGTTGCAACTCAGAGTAAGCTTCACCTTGCCTCCAAACACCACCACACAAGAGCTGAAATTTTATAGTTTATTGAGGAAGAAATCCAAGTCAAAATAAAGAATAAGCATTGCAAAGTTCCAAAGATTAAGGTTAAATGCAGAATATAGTTCCAAAGCTCTTCAGGTAAAAGCAGGAGACACAATCCTATTGGCAAAGTTCAAACCCGAGTCCCAGGTACAAGCAATGAAACAATTGGCCCATGAATCACAATGCAAGAAATCCCAAGCGTACTGCTTTCCAGGCTGAGATTATTCCATGAAGATTCCAGGCTAATAAGCTACGTTGAACTGACACTTTCCCTTGGTTTGCAAGAAGCCTAAATACCTTTCTAACATGAAAACATTACATGAAATCATTGCGATGACCTTTCACCGAGCTGGCTTCTCGTCTGCCGGCTCGGCGAGAACTCCGCCGGACCCGCAGATCAAGACGAGCTTGATCAGGTCACTAGCAAGACTTTCAGTACTTTCAGTATCAGCGTGGGAAGGAGGCAAATGCCTCCCCACCTGTTCACTATCTCCTTTTAAAATTCCTTTCTCCTGAGAACCGCTGTGTTGATGTTGACTCTGCACTGTCTATGGGAGCCGCAGGCCCAGAGATCTGAGGTACAGCAAAAGAGCCAGGAATCTGAATCCCATCATCCTCATCATCACAGAACATCTCAGTCACAACAAACGACACCCAGACACCTTTGGCTTGCTCACCTGTCTCATCCGGCTCCATGCGCCAAACCTGCAGTGCACTGTCGGGAGGTCCGCTTGTCAAAAGCAAACTAAAGGGGAGAAAGAAGCAAAGAGGGAGGAAACTCTTGAGCAAAGGTGGGGATCTGTTATGGTCACTCATTAGATAGGATCTGCTGGAGTGAGCCCTGAAACTGAGCAGGAAAACTGGCAACAAACACATCGGTGCTGTTGCACTCCAGAACAGGAAAATCTCTCTGACTGTAAACACCACTGTAACAAGGAGATAATCCTTTTATTGAAGATAATTAAAAAGCAGTAAAGTAAAAAAGCCCTTTAAAGAAATAGGTAAATCCAAATAGGAAAGAAGATAAGCAGGAACAAAATAGTCCAGAGTAATAGTCCAGCAAAGTCCGTAAAAGCAAAGGGAACTCTCTGGTAGCAATTTAGGGAGCACACCATCATCCCCACACCCTTTAGGGACATTCTCATGGGAAACTACACTTCGAACAGGGATCTCCTGGTCATTCTGTGCATCAATATCACTGACCAAACCACTACCATCTTGAAACCCATTGACATCACTCCCCACATCCAAAGCACCCTGATCCTGAAACACAATCACAGGCTGAGCTCCATCAACACCTTTATTAATGACTTGGATGAAGCGTTAGAAGGCAGGATCATCAAGTTTGCAGATGACACCAAATGGGGAGGAAGAGCCAAGACTCCAGAGGACAGGAGCAGGATTCAAAGGGATCTTGACAGGTTAGAGAGAGGATGGGCCAAAACTAACAAAATGAAGTTCAACACTGACAAATGCAAGATACTCCACTTTGGCTGGAAAAAGGAAATGCAAAGGTACAGAATGGGGGACAATGAGGCCTGGCTCGAGAGCAGGACGTGTGAAAAAGATCTTGGAGTCCTCGTAGGGAGGAAGGAGAACAGGAGCCAGGAATGTGATGCGGCGGCAAAAAAAGCCAGTGGGATTTTGGCCTGCATCAAGAGCCTAGTGTCTACAACAGGGGTCCCCAAACTACGGCCCACGCCCACCCGGCGCCGCTCCGGCCTTTGCAGGAACACTCTGCTCCAGCCGCTCTAGTCTCCAAGGAGGCAGGTAAACTACAATTCCAAAACCAAAGGACACTGCCCACTAAACCCTTCCAGTATTTTCTGTTGGTCATGGGAGAACTGTGTGCCAAGTTTGGTTCAATTCCACCTTAGATGGGGTTAAGAATGCTCTTTGATTGTAGGTGAACTATAAATCCCAGAAACTACAACTCCCAAACGTCAAAATTCTACTTCCCCCATACTCCACAAGTGTTCACATTTGGGCATATGGAATATCAGTGCCAAGTTTGCTCCAGATCTATCATTGAGTCCACAGTGATTGATGGAGGCAGGGGAACTACAATTCCAAAACTAAAGGACACTGCCCACCAAACCCTTCCAGTATTTTCTGTTGGTCATGGGAGAACTGTGTGCCAAGTTTGGTTCAATTCCACCGTTGGTGGGGTTCAGAATGTTCTTTGATTGTAGGTGAACTATAAATCCCAGCAACTACAACTCCCAAATGTTAAGATTCTATTTTCCCCCAAACTCCACCAGTGTTCACATTTGGGCATATTGAGTATTTTTGCCAAGTTTGATCCCGATCCATCATTGTTTGTTTCCACAATGATCTCTGAATGTAGGTGAACTACAACTCCAAAACCAAAGGACACTGCCCACCAAACCCTTCCACTATTTTCAGTTGGTCGTGGGAGAAATGTGTGCCAAGTTTGGTTCAATTCCATCGTTGGTGGGGTTCAGAATACTCTTTGATTATAGGTGAACTATAAATCCCAGCAACTACAACTCCCAAATGACAAAATCATTTTTTGTGTGAAGGGCATACATTGGGTTGTTAGGTGTCTTGTGTCTAAAATTGGTTTCAATTCGTCCAGTGGTTTTTGAGTTCTGTTAATCCCACAAACGAACATTACATTTTTATTTATATAGAAGTGTGGGTCTTTGTTTTTTGATTTGGGGGGGGGGGTTGCACTGCAAATAATATATGTGCAGAGTGCATAGGAATTCATTCATGTTTTTTTTCAAATTATAATCCGGCCCCCCAACAGTTTGCGGGACTGCAACCCGGCCCTCTGTTCAAAAAGTTTGGGGGCCCCTGGTCTACAACCAGGGAAGTAATGCTCCCCATGCTCTATTCCGCCTTGGTTAGACCATTACCTGGAATATTGTGTCCAATTCTGGGCACCACAATTCAAGAGAGATATTGACAAGCTGGAATGTGTCCAGAGGAGGGCGACTAAAATGATCAATGGTCTGGAGAACAAGCCCTATGAGGAGTGGCTTAAGGAGTTGGGCATGTTTAGCCTGAAGAAGAGAAGGCTGAGAGGAGATATGATAGCCATATAAATATGTGAGAGGAAGTCACAGGGATGAGGGAGCAAGCTTGTTTTCTGCTGCCCTGGAGACTAGGACTTGGAACAATGGCTTCAAACTACAGATTCCATCTGAACATGAGGAAGAACTTCCTGACTGTGAGAGCCGTTCAGCAGTGGAACTCTCTGCCCCGGAGTGTGGTGGAGGCTCCTTCTTTGGAAGCTTTTAAACAGAGGCTGGATGGCCATCTGTCAGGGGGGATTTGAATGCAATATTCCTGCTTCTTGGCAGAATGGGGTTGGACTGGATGGCCCATGAGGTCTCTTCCAACTCTAGGATTCTATGATTCTATAATCCTATACTGAAGTTTGCCTGGTTTAGAAAGTGCAATGCCACCTACCTGGTTCCTGGCACATGCTTCAGACTGAACACGGGGCGGTCCGAAAACCCGCCGTGCTCCACTTTGAAGTCTCTTTCCGGACACAATCCCTGTAAAAAAGCAAAGCATTCTCCTGAAAGCACCTGGAAAATATTGCTGCAAAAACCCAACCAGAATTAATGTAGCTGTTAATGGACAGTGAGGCATGGATGTCTATCTATTCCAACTGTGGGTGCATCTAAACATAGTGGAATTAATGCTGTTTGATGCCACTTTAATACCTGGAGGGCTTCACCTCCTAAATGCAACACTCCCTGCAAAATCAATTATGCCCCCCAAAAGTCTAGGGGTTTTTTTTGCCAAGTTCTCCACATTTTAGATCCAAGAAGAGCTATTTTAGAGGCCAAAACGGACCCTAAATTACATAATAATAATAATAATAATAATAATAATAATAATGGTTTATATTATATGCTAATCAAGGTGGTCAGTTGAAACATTCACACCTAGCTCCAGCAGACAAGAGTCCTTTGTCCCACCCTGGACATTCCACAGATATATCAACCCATTTTCCTAGTTCCAATAGACCTCACTACCTCTGAGGATGCTTGCCATAGATGCAGGCGAAACGTCAGGAGAGAATGCCTCTAGAACATGGCCATATAGCCCGAAAAAACCTACAACCAGAACATTTAATCACCTCTCAACAAAAGATTCCCCCAGGCACTACCAGGCCATCAAATGCTAATCAAGATGGTCAGTTGAAACATTCCCACCTCACTCCAACAGAGAAGAGTCCTTTGTCCCACCCTGGTCATTCCACAGATATCTAAACCCTTTTTCCTAGTCCCAACAGACCTCACTACCTCTGAGGATGTTTGCCATAGATGTAGGCGAAACGTCAGGAGAGAATGCCTCTGAACATGGCCATATAGCCCAAAAAACCTACAACAACCCAACTTTCACCAGGTTTTCATGCTTGACTCAATTAGGAGATTACATTTTTAACCCAGGAACAAAAATCATGTTACACAGTGGGTCTAAAGCAGGGATGAGAGAAGAGGTGTCGTGAATACCCCACCAATTGCACAATTCGCAGTGTTGTTGGTGCCTGCATTACCTGGTTCTCCTTGGCACACAGCCTTGGAGGCAAAACGAGCTGGAGGATCTCATTCCTTCTTCCATTTCCATATCCAGCAACACAGACACCTAAAGAAAGAAGCACAGAATCAAGGAATCCCAGAGTCGGAAGGGGCCCCCAAAGTTCATCCAGTCCAAACTCTCTCTCACTGTGTGTGTGTGTGTGTGTGTGAATATATATATATATATATATATATATATATATATCCCATATATACATACTATATATATATATATATATATATACACACACACACACACACACACACACACACACACATACACACACACACACACATACACACACACACACACACTCACAGTCCCCTGCCATGCATTGCTGTGGCCCACTCTGTGTATATGTGTTTTGCATTTGTATATATGTGTGAATTGTGCCTGTATATATGTGTGTTTGCGTGTGTGTGTGTGTGTGTGTGTGTGTGTGTGTGTGTGTATATATATATATATATATATATATGAGGGTGTATATATGTGTCTGCATATATTAGTGTGTATTTGTGCGTTTTTATGTGTGCATGCATATTGTGTATAAGAGTGTGCTTTATATGCATTTGTGTGTATATATGTATGTATGTGGATATGTATATGTGTGTGGATGTGTATATGTATATCTGCATGTATATGTATCTGTGTACATGTGTGTATTTGTTTGTGCATATATATACGTGTGTATGAATATGTGCATGTGTATATGTATGTGAGTGTATGTGTATATTTATATATAGTGTATCTGTTGGGTTTTTAAGTCTGTTATGCTGAGGCTTTGTGTGTGTGTATGGGTGATGGACACTCGTTGGACTGTTAGGTGTATTGAGTCCAAATTTTGTGTCAGTTCCTCCAGTGGGTCTTGAATTATGTTAATCATAGAATCCTATAATCAAAGAGTTGGAAGAGACCTCCTGGGCCATCCAGTCCAACCCCATTCTGCCAAGAAGCAGGAACATTGCATTCAAATCACCCCTGACAGATGGCCATCCAGCCTCTGCTTAAAAGCTTCCAAAGAAGGAGCCTCCACCACACTCCGGGGCAGAGAGTTCCACTGCTGAACGGCTCTCTCAGTCAGGAAGTTCTTCCTCATGTTCAGATGGAATCTCCTCTCTTGTAGTTTGAAGCCATTGTTCCCTTGCGTCGTAGTCTCCAGGGAAGCAGAAAACAAGCTTGCTCCCTCCTCCCTGTGGCTTCCTCTCATATATTTATACATGGCTATGAAATCTCCTCTTATCCTTCTCTTCTTCAGGCTAAACATGCCCAGCTCTTTAAGCCGCTCCTCATAGGGCTTGTTCTCCAGACCCTTGATCATTTTAGTCACCCTCCTCTGGACACATTCAAAATATAATCCCACAAACAGACATTATATATATTTTATTTATATAGATTTAAGGTAAACGTTTTCCCCTGACAGTAAGTCTAGGGGCATTTGACTCTGGGGGTTGGTGCTCATTTCCATTTCTATTTATTTACTTTGCTTGTATACCGCAGTTTCTCAGCCCGCAGGCGACTCAACGCGGTTCACAACAAGAGCAAAAGTCAATGAAACAACATACAATATTTAAAACCATTAACAGCACAATATACAAAATAATGACACATCAATACAACACATTAGCATCGTTGCATTTCTAGGCCGAAGAGCCGGCGTTGTCCATAGACACCTCCAAGGTCATATGGCCTGCATGACTGCATGGAGCGCCGGTACCTTCCCGCTGAAGCGGTACCTATTGATCTACTCACATTTGCATGTTTTTGAACTGCTAGGTTGGCAGAAACTGAGGCCGTGTCCACAAGGATTCTTTCTTCCACCCTGGATATTATTCCATAGGTATATAATATACACTCCACTCCCCTCATTGCCAACAGACCTCTAAACAAACCTCTGAGGATGCCAGTAGCCACAGATGCAGGGGAAACGTCAGGAAAGAATGCTACTGGAACATGGCCATACAGCCTTAAAAACTCACAGCAGCCCAGTGATACTGGCCATGAAAGCCTTCGACAACACACGCTCTAATTCCACCCAAAGCTGTTTCCAACTGAAACTCTACGACTCCAAGTCCCAGTCTCTGTGATTTTGACGCACTGATTGCATGGCACCAAGTGAAGAAATTCCACTCACGTTTTTCTCCTGTCCATTCGATGACTCTGGTGGGATCCTGAAGCTCAAACACATGAAGGTCGTTGTATCTATGCAAGAGAAGCAAGGAAGGACACGTGAGAAGGACTGAGGAGCCTTCACAGAACTTAAGTGGAACATGAGCCAACAGTCTGATACAGCAGCTGAAAAACCCAATGCGATTCTAGGCTGGAGATGGGACTGATGTATAAATGCAAAATTTATTTATGTTTCATATGTATCCTACACAATAGAATCATAGAATCCTAGAGTTGGAAGAGACCTCCTGGGCCATCCAGTCCAACCCCATTCTGCCAAGAAGCAGGAATATTGCATTCAAATCACCCCTGAAAGATGGCCATGCAGCCTCTGTTTAAAAGCTTCCAAAGAGGGAGCCTCCAACACACTCTGAGGCAAAGAGTTCCACTGCTGAACACTAAACCCCTATTGATGCAGGCCAAAATCCCATTAGCTTTTTTTTTTGCCGCCACATGACATTGTTGGCTCATGTTTAACTTGTTTTCCATGAGGACTCCAAGATAAATAATAATAATAAACTTTATTTATACCCCGCTACCATCTCCCCAAGGGACTCGGTGCGGCTTACATGAGGCCAAGCCCACAGTAAATCAAACAAAACATCAATAAACGCAACATAAATAAACAATCAATAAAATACAAATCATATAAATCACATAAACAAAAAACAATCAATAGTGACATAAACAATTTTAAAAATGGCCGGGCCAAATGTAATAGATTAAAATTGAAAATATGCTGACGTGAACAATGTAAAATATAACTAGGATAGAATTTTCAGAGAAGAATGGGGCATGCAGACAATCCTAGATCATTAATAAAGTGCATTTAGGGACATATTGCTGGGAGTTTCCTTATTCTGGGGAGGCACACTGGAACAACCACGTTTTCAGGCTCCTCTTAAAGACTGTCAGAGTTGGGGCATGCCTAATATCCTTGGGGAGTGAATTCCAGAGTCGGGGGGCCACCACCAAGAAGGCCCTCTCTCGTCCCCACCAATCGCACCTGCGATGAAGGTGAGAGCGTGAGCAGGGCCTCTCCACATGATCGAAGAGATCGCATGGGTTCGTACACAGAAATGCGGTCACGCAGGTAGGCGTGTCCCAAACCATTCAGGGCTTTGTAGGTAAGAACCTGCATCTTGAATTGGGACCGGAAGATGAAGGGCAGCCAGTGGAGCTCCTTAAACAGAATCATAGAATCCTAGAATCAAAGAGTTGGAAGAGACCTCCTGGAACATCCAGTCCAACCCCATTCTGCCAAGAAGCAGGAATATTGCATTCAAATCACCCCTGACAGATGGCCATCCAGCCTCTGTTTCAAAGCTTCCACAGAAGGAGCCTCCACCACACTCCGGCGCAGAGAGTTCCACTGCTGAACGGCTCTCACAATCAGGAAGTTCTTCCTCATGTTCAGGTGGAATCTCCTCTCTTGAAGTTTGAAGCCATTGTTCCCTTGTGTCCTAGTCTCCAAGGAAGCAGAAAACAAGCTTACTCCCTCCTCCCTGTGGCTTCCTCTCACATATTGATACATGGCTCTCATATCCCCTCTCAGCCTTCTCTTTTTCAGGCTAAACATGCCCAGCTCCTTAAGCCGCTCCTCATAGGGCTTGTTCTCCAGACCTTTTATCATTTTAGTCGCTCTCCTCTGGACACAGGAGGGTTGACCGCTCTCTGTAAGTCGCACCAGTTAGTAAGTTGGCTGCTGCGCATTGTACCAGTTGGAATTTCCAGGCCGTTTACAAGGGCAGCCCCACGTAGAGTGCATTACAGTAATCCAATGTGGAGGTGACTAAGGCATGGACCACCCTGGCCAGATCCGACGTCATGAGGTACGGTCACAGCTGGCGCACGAGTCTTAATTGTGCAAAGGCCCTCCCGGACACTGCCGACGCCTGAGCTTCAAGCGTAAGTGATGAGTCCAGGAGGACACCCAAACTGTGGACCTGTCCCTTTAAGATCTTTTTCACATGTACTGCTCTCGAGCCAGGCCTCATTGTCCCCCATTCCGTATCTTTGCATTTCATTTTTCCTGCCTAAGTGGAGTATCTTGCATTTGTCCCTGTTGAACTTCATTTTGTTAGTTTTGGCCCATCTCTCTAATCTGTCAAGATCGTTTTGAGTCCTGCTCCTGTCCTCTGGAGTATTGGCTCTCCCTCCCAATTTGATGTTGTTTGCAAACTTGATGATCATGCCTTCTCGCCCTTCATCTCAGTCATGAATAAAGATCCTGAGCAGGACCGGGCCCAGGACGAAACGCTGTGGATGACACTCCACTCGTCACTTCTTTCCAGGAGGAAGAGGAGGAAGCCTTGGGGAGAATCACCCTCTGGGTTCGTCCATTTAACCAATTCCAGATCCACCTCACCGTAGTTTTGCCTCGCCCACATTGGACTCATTTCCTTGCCAGAATCATAGAATCCTAGAGTTGGAAGAGACCTCATGGGCCATCCAGTCCAACCCCCTGCCAAGAAGCAGGAATATTGCATTCAAATCACCCTTACATGGGGACCTTGTCAAAGACCTTCCTGAAATCCAGGTACACTACATCCACGGCATTCCCTGTATAATAATCTTACAGTGATCATTGAGTCAAGAACAGAGGAGTATTACCTGGGAAGGAATCCCACTGGAGCATTGCAGCGCACCCAAATCCCTGGGAGTCACTCTGGACTGTGCTCTGACCTACAAGAAGCACTGCCTGAACATCAAGCAAAAAGTGGGTGCTAGAAACAATATCATACAAAAGCTGACTGGCACAACCTGGGGATCACAACCAGATACAGTGAAGACATCTGCCCTTGCGCTGTGCTACTCTGCTGCTGAGTCTGCATGCCCAGTGTGGAACACATCTCACCACGCTAAAATAGTGTTTGTGGCTCTGAATGAGACATGCCGCATTATCACGGGGTGTCTGCGCCCTACACCACTGGAGAAATTACACTGTCTAGCCGGTATTGCACCACCTGACATCTTCTGGGAAGTAGCAGCCAACAGTGAAAGGACCAAGGCAGAGACATCTCCAGCTCATCCCGTTTGGGTATCAGCCAGCATGCCAATGACTTAAATCAAGGAATAGTTTTCTAAGATCTAGGGAGACACTCGCTGGAACACCCCTGCAAGCAAGAGTCCAAAAGTGGCAGGCTCAAACCCAGAACCTCAACCAATGGCTGATACCAGATGAGAGACTCCCCCCTGCGCTCTGGCACCACGAGATGCAGAGCCAACCTTCAGAAATGGAGTCCACGACATGTGAGTGTAGAGAAGAGCAAACCACTGACCACCTGCTGCAATGCACCCTGAGCCCTGCCACATGCACAATGGAGAACCTCCTTGCGGCAACACCAGAGGCACTCCAAGGGGCCAGATACTGGTCAAAGGACATTTAATCAACTACAAAGCTTGCAAACTTTGTGGAGCCATAAAGTGGAATCCATGAAATGTGAGTGTGGAGAGGAGCAAACCACTGACCACCTGCTGCAATGCACCCTGAGCCCTGCCACATGCACAATGGAGACCTTCTTGCGGCAACACCAGAGGCACTCCAAGGGGCCAGATACTGGTCAAAGGACATTTAATCAACTACCAAGCTTGCAAACTTTGTGGAGCCATAAAGTGGAATCCATGAAATGTGAGTGTGGAGAGGAGCAAACCACTGACCACCTGCTGCAATGCAACCTGAGCCCTGCCACATGCACAATGGAGAACCTTCTTGCGGCAACACCAGAGGCACTCCAAGGGGCCAGATACTGGTCAAAGGACATTTAATCAACTACCAAGCTTGCAAACTTTGTGGAGCCATAAAGTGGAATCCATGAAATGTGAGTGTGGAGAGGAGCAAACCACTGACCACCTGCTGCAATGCACCCTGAGCCCTGCCACATGCACAAGGGAGGATCTCCTTGTGGCAACACCAGAGGCACTCCAAGGGGCCAGATACTGGTCAAAGGACATTTAATCAACTACCAAGTTTGCAAACTTTGTGGAGCCATAAAGTGGAATCCATGAAATGTGAGTGTGGAGAGGAGCAAACCACTGACCACCTGCTGCAATGCACCCTGAGCCCTGCCACATGCACAAGGGAGGATCTCCTTGTGGCAACACCAGAGGCACTCCAAGGGGCCAGATACTGGTCAAAGGACATTTAATCAACTACCAAGTTTGCAAAATGGGGCTACAAAGTGGAATCCTCAACATGTGAGTGTGGAGAGGAGCAAACCACTGACCACCTGCTGCAATGCAACCTGATCCCTGCCACATGCACAATGGAGGACCTTCTTGCGGCAACACCAGAGGCACTCCAAGTGGCCAGATACTGGTCAAAGGACATTTAATCAACTACCAAGCTTGCAACTTTGTGTTTTGTCTGTTTGTTTGTTTTGTTCTGTTAGAAATGTAATATAATTGACTGGTTGCCCCTGACATGATAAATAAATAAAAATAAGTGATCATTGAATTAGGAAAAGCAGTAATACTAATTATAATTATGTAACAACTATAATTTTATATCATAATATAATTATGATAGCAATACTTGCAATCAATCTTGGACAGTAATAATAATAAACTTATAACAACTGTAGCAATAATATAATTCAGTCCCAAGGTAGTGTTATAGCAATAATACTAAGAGTAAATGTATATCCCAGGCCTGGGCAAACTTGGGCCTTCCTCCAGGTGTTTTGGACTCCAACTCCCACAATTCCTAACAGCCCAAGTTTGCCCAGGCCTGGGATATATTTATAGTACTAACAGCAATAATCATCAAAATCATCATAAGCCTTGGAGGGATGAGCAGAAAACCCTCCTCTCTCTCTCTTTCTCCCTCCCTTACAGCCTCAAAGACTCGAAAAGCCACTCTTCCTCTTCCTCTTCCTCCATTGTTTCCTCTTCTGCTGCTTCCTTGTTTTCCCACGTGCCTCCTGCAAAGATGGGGAGGTGGTCACGTGAAAGAGGCTCCACGTGACTCAGCCTGAGCGTTCCAGCCTCTTGTCCAATCAGCGCCTTCCCTGGCTGACGTCAAGCGGAGGGGAGGGGAGGGGGAGAAAGAGGGATTCCTCGACACGCGTCAGTGGGGGGAAAGCAGCGGTGCACGTGTGAATGCGTCCAAGATGCGGGCAAAAGGGAGAACCGGGTTCGGATGAAAGAATGAAATCATATTTCATTTTCTGGAGGGGAAAGGAAGCCTGTTCAGAGTGTTGCCAACCCTCTTTTCCGACTCCTTCCACAGCAGATCCGTGTCTGTTGAAGGGATCACGTGTAAATGCGTTCCAATTAAAGGAGGAATTTTTTTTCATTTTCTAGAGGGAGAAGGAGGCGTGTTAACAATGTTGTCAGCCCTCCTTTCCGACTCCAGCCACAAAAGATCCGTGTCTGCTGAAGGGATCACGTGTGAATGCGTTCCTGGTTTCAGCGTGAACTTTAGTCTGGCCTTAATTCATGTCATGTATTATTATATTGATATTTATATCATTATTAATAATAATAATAATAATTATAAATTTAGGTCATGTAGCTTGAAGTCATTTCTAGTGACCTTAATTAAGTGAACCTGTCTCTTTAAGAAAGAGCCTGGCCTTGACCTTCCTCTCATGACCTTAAGTGAACTTGTCTCTTTAATTAGTGGCTTAACCTTGGCCTTCCTCGGATGGCCTTATCCTGACATTAAGTGAACCTGTCTCTTTAAGAAAGGGTTTGACCTTCCTCTGATGACCTTAAGTGAACCTGAGTCCACCCTGTGTCGCCTAATATAGTAAATAATAAATAACTAAACCTGTCTCTTTAAGAAATGGTTTGACCTTGGCCTTCCTCTGATGACCTTAAGTGAACCTGTCTCTTTAAGAAAGGGCTTGACTTTATTTATTTTTTATTATTATTTACGGCAATATATGTAAATACAATATATTATATTATTGTTGTTGTTCACTCGTTCAGTCGTCTCCGACTCTTCGTGACCTCATGGACCAGCCCACGCCAGAGCTCCCTGTCGGCCGTCCACCCCCAGCTCCCTCAAGGTCAGTCCAGTCACTTCAAGGATTCCATCCATCCATCTTGCCCTTGGTCGGCCCCTCTTCCTTTTGCCTTCCACTTTCCCCAGCATAATTGTCTTCTCTAGGCTTTCCTGTCTCCTCATGATGTGGCCAAAGTACTTCAACTTTGTCTCTAGTATCTTCCCTCCAGTGAGCAGTCGGGCTTTATTTCCTGTAGGATGGACTGGTTGGATCTTCTCGCAGTCCAAGGCACTCTCAGCACTTTCCTCCAACACCACAGCTCAAAAGCATCTCTCTTCCTTCGCTCAGCCTTCCCGAAGGTCCAGCTCTCACATCCGTAGGTGACTACAGGGAAGACCATGGCTTTGACTAGGCAATGGATCTTTGTTGCCAGTCTGATGTCTCTACTCTTCACTATTTTATCGAGACTGGACATTGCTCTCCTCCCAAGAAGGAAGCGTCTTCTGATTTCCTGGCCACAGTCTGCATCTGCAGTAATCTTTGCACCTAGAAATACAAAGTCTGTCACGGCCTCCACGGTTTCTCCCTCTATTTTCCAGTTGTCAATCATTCTTGTTGCCATAATCTTGGTTTTTTTGGCGTTTAGCTGCAACCCGGCTTTTGCGCTTTCTTCTTTCACCTTGATTAGAAGGCTCCTCAGCTCCTCCTCGCTTTCGGCCATCAGAGTGGTCTCATCTGCATATCTGAGGTTGTTAATGTTTCTTCCAGCAATTTTCACCCCAGCTTTGCATTCATCCAGCCCCGCACATCGCATGATGTGTTCTGCATACAAGTTAAAAAGGTTGGGTGCGAGGATGCAGCCTTGCCGTACGCCTTTCCCAATCTTGAACCAGTCTGTTGTTCCGTGGTCAGTTCTGACTGTTGCTACTTGGTCCTTGTACAGATTCCTCAGGAGAGAGACAAGGTGGCTTGGGATGCCCATCCCACTAAGAACTTGCCACAATTTATTATGATCCACACAGTCAAAGGCTTTAGAATAGTCAATGAAGCAGAAGTAGATGTTTTTCTGAAACTCCCTGCCTTTCTCCATTATCCAGCGGATATTGGCAATCTGGTCTCTCGTTCCTCTGCCTTTTCTAAACCCAGCTTGAACATCTGGCAACTCTCGCTCCATGTATTGCTGGAGTCTTCCTTGCAGGATCTTGAGCATTATCTTACTGGCATGAGAAATAAGGGCCACTGTACGGAAGTTTGAGCAGTCTTTCGCATTTCCCTTTTTTTGGTATGGGGATATAAGTTGATTTTTTCCAGTCTGATGGCCATTCTTGTGTTTTCCATATTTGCTGGCATATGGCATGCATCACCTTGACAGCATCATCTTTTAATATTTTAAACAGTTCAGCTGGGATCCCGTCGTCTCCTGCTGCCTTGTTGTTAGCAATGCTTCTTAAGGCCCATTCAACCTCACTCCTCAGGATGTCTGGTTCTAATTCATTCACCACACCGTCATAACTATCCTCAATATTATTATCCTTCCTATACAGATCTTCTGTATAGTCTCGCCACCTTCTCTTGATCTCTTCAGCTTCTGTTAGGTCCCTGCCATCTTTGTTTCTTATCATACCAATTTTTGCCTGAAATTTACCTCCAATGTTTCTAATTTTCTGGAAGAGGTCTCTTGTCCTTCCTATTCTGTTTTCTTCCACTTCCATGCATTGCTTATTTAAAAATAGTTCCTTATCTCTTCTGGCTAACCTCTGGAATTGGCGCATTTAACTGGGCATATCTCCCCTTATCCCTGTTTCCTTTTGCTTTCCTCCTTTCTTGGGCTACTTCCAGTGTCTCAGCAGACAACCATTTTGCCTTCTTGGTTTTCTTTTTCTTTGGGACGTACTTTGTTGCCGCCTCCTGAACAATGTCTCGGACTTCTGTCCATAGTTCTTCTGGGCCTCTGTTTACTAAATCTAGTCCTTCAAATCTGTTCTTCACTTCCACTGTATAATCGCTAGGAATGTTAGTGAGATCATATCTAACTGGTCTGGGTATTTTCCCTGATCTCTTCAGTTTTATTCTAAATTTGGCAATAAGAAGTTCGTGATCTGAGCTACAGTCAGCCCCAGGTCTTGTTTTCACCGACTGGATGGATGTCCGCCACCTTTGGCTGCAAAGGATGTAGTCAATCTGATTTCGGTGTTGACCATCTGGTGAGGTCCATGTATAAAGCCGTCTTTTAGGTTGTTGGAAGAGAGTAGTCGTTATACACAGCGAGTTTTCCTGGCAAAATTCTATCAGCCTGCGTCCCGCTTCATTTTGTTCTCCCAGACCATGCTTGCCTGTGATCCCTGTTGTCATTTGACTTCCCACCTTGGCATTCCAGTCTCCTGTAATGAAAATAATGTCTCTTTTTGGTGTATTATCCAGGAGGTCCTGCAGATCCTCATAAAACTGATCTACTTCTGCTTCTTCAGCAGCTGTGGTTGGGGCGTATATTTGGATCATTATATTATTAACATAACACAATAAGATCTCTGCCTTCCTCTGACGGCCTTATGGTGACCTTAAGTGAACCTGTCTCTTTAAGAAAGGGTTTGACCTTCCTCTGATGACCTTAAGTGAACCTGAATCCACCCTGTGTCGCCTAATATAGTAAATAATAAATAAATAAACCTGTCTCTTTAAGAAATGGTTTGACTTTGGCCTTCCTCTGATGACCTTACGTGAACCTGTCTCTTTAAGAAAGGGCTTGACTTTATTTATTTTTTATTATTATTTACGGCAATATATGTAAATACAATATATTATATTATTAACATAACACAATAAGATCTTTGCCTTCCTCTGATGGCCTTATCCTGAGCTTAAGTGAACCTGTCACTTTAAGAAAGGGCTTGACCTTCCTCTTGATGACCTTAAGTGAACCTGAGTCCGCCCTGAGTTGCCAAAGGGCTGAGAAGGGTGGTATACAAATATAGTAAATAATAAGTAAATAAACCTGTCTCTTTAAGAAATGGTTTGACTTTGGCCTTCCTCTGATGACCTTAAGTGAACCTGTCTCTTTAAGAAAGGGCTTGACTTTATTTATTTTTTTATTATTTATGACATTTATATGCTTTCCTTCTGAGCCCGACGGGGACTCAAAGCGGCTTACAAGTTATATGTAAATACAATATATTATATTATTAACATAGCACAATAAGACCTTTGCCTTCCTCTGATGGCCTTATCCTGACCTTAAGTGAACCTGTCTCTTTAAGAAAGGGCTTGGCCTTGGTCTGGCTTGACCTTGGCCTGTCTCTTTAAGAAATATCTTGGCCTTGGCCTTCTTCTGATGACCCTAAGTGAACCTGTCTCTTTAAAAAAGGGCTTGGCCTGGCTTGACCTTGGCCTGTCTCTTTAAGAAATATCTTGGCCTTGGCCTTCTTCTGATGACCCTAAGTGAACCTGTCTCTTTAAGAAAGGGCTTGGCCTTGGCCTGGCTTGACCTTGGCCTGTCTCTTTAAGAAATGGCTTGGCCTTGGCCTTCCTCTGATGACCTTAAGTGAACCTGTCTCTTTAAGAAAGGGCTTATCTGATGACCTTAAATGAACCTGTCGCTTTAAGACAGGGCTTGACCTTATTTATTTATTATTTATTATTTACGACATTTATATGCCGCCCTTCTCACCCTGAAGGGGACTTAGAGAGGTTTACATGTAATATGTAAATACAATATATTATATTATTAACATAGCACAATAACACCTTGGCCTTCCTCTTTTTGCCTTATCCTGACCTTAATTGAACCTGTCTCTTTAAGAAAGGGCTTGATCTTCCTCTGATGACCATAAGTGAACCTGTCTCTTTAAGAAAGGCCTTGACTTTATTTTTATTATTTACTGTATTTATATGCTGTCCTTCTGACGCCGAAGGGGACTCAAAGCGGCTTACAAGTTATATGTAAATACAATATATTATATTATTAACATAGCACAATAACACCTTGGCCTTCCTCTGATGGCCTTATCGTGACCTTA